CACATCCAAAATACAACCACCAGCACGATGTGATATTAAAGTGTTGCTGTGGTAACCTGCGCTCTGAATGGCCGGCTCTCAAAGGACAATACGCTCAGCCTGCACCTGGCTGTGGTGCAGATTGTTAGTCTCCCAAGCTCCCCTCCCCAAAAGAAGCCAGCACTGGCCTGGTGAGGGAGAGCTTTGATCTCCCCAGTGGGCTTGCCAGCTGCTGAAGATATAAAGCGGTACTCAAAATTAATACCTATCTATCCATACACACAAATACAGAGAATATAGGACACAAGCAGTAACAAAAACTGTTCCTATATTCTGAAACATGTATATACACAGATACATGATTTATTCATGTTCACTGTTACAGTTTTCTCTCTACCCTTCAAGCAAAATGTTTGGGAAAGATTGTCTTGCGTTTTTGTTTTTTTTTGTATTTTGTTTTTTTCTCTTATTCTCCTGTTATTGATTTCCTATAATTTGGATAACGGCATCAATGTTATCTATGAACTTTTAGCTGTAAGTCTTAATTCAATGACATTTGTTATTTTGTTCAGAAATGTTATATATAGGTTGTTTTATATTAATCTTTAATTCTACTTTATTTTTATGTAAGGTTCTGCAATTAGATACAATTTTGGACAACCTAGTTGTGGACCCAAATACAGGGGATATTTGGACAGCCGGACATCCAAACGGCAAAAAAGTATTACTTTACAATCCTGATGATCTATCTGGATCAGAGGTGAGTGCACATAAGCTAAAATTAAATATTTTCTGTTTTTGGTGTGCAAATCATGTAGTCTCAGCAAATCTTACTATAGTTTAACATCATCTCATGCTGTTATACAATCATAAACACTCAAAGAGATAAGCATCTTGAAAAGGACTCCAGAGAAGAAAAGTGGAAATGAGGATTGAGGTTCCACAGATCAGTATCTGTCTTTCTACACAATATGGCCAAGAATATGTGGAAAACCTTAGTAATTATTGAATTGGGTTCTTCAATCACACACATTGCTAACAAGTGCCTAGAATCTGGCACATAGACATGAAATCACTTTAGACAAACATTGACAGTACAGTGGGTGGTTCTGTAAAGCTCAATGGCTTTAAATGTGGCATTGTCATAAGATGTCCCCTCTGCAAAAAGACCGTTTCTACCATACTAGACCATACTGGTCAATAAAGTGCAATTATAGTGATGTGGATGCATGTAGAAGCAAAAAGAGACCAGCCACTAAGTAGTGTACCATGCACTCACAAAGAGGGAATGATGAATGCTGAAGTACCCAGTGCTTGACAATCTCCTATCCTCTGTTACATCAGTTATTACAGAGTTCCAGGCTACCACTGGATGAAACAGCACAAGAACTGTGCATTGTTAAATGAGTTTCCATATCAAATCAGCTTTACACAAGCCACACATCAACATACACAATGACAAGCATCAAATTGACTCTGGAATGGTGGAAATATGTCTACTGGAGTGATGAGTGCCTACTGTAAAGTTTGATGTAGTAACCTGGTGTTGTTTTTTAGAGTTTGGGCAATGAAGGGTTATGTTATTGCTGCAGGTTACAAAGACATTTTAGACAATTGGTTATCAACTTTATGATAACTTTATGCCCCTGTACACAAAGCTGGGTCCATGAAGATATGGTTTGAGGTGGAAGAACTCAAGTTGCCTGCTCAGTCCCCTGACCTCAACCTCATTGAACATATTGGGATGCCAGTTGTGAAACACCCCAAAATATTGTGGAATGTTTTTGAAAAAGAGTGCTAGCTGTTATAGCCATAATGGTGGGGGTGATGTAGCTTGTCAATGTCCATGGTTTTGTAATGATATATCCAACAGCTCTTGTCTGTCTCTTTTTCAACCCTCCTAAAAGGGTTTGTCTATGTACTATTTCACATACTACATGTCTTGTACATATCAATTCTTTAAGTGGAAGGCATGCATGTTCAAAGACATATATTTTGCTTCTAATGTCCCAGTGTAGAGTTGCTGGACTCCCAGCTAGTCTGTGTTTAAATGAGCTATCTTGGCAAGGGTCTCATTTTGTAGGGTATGCTATGGATTAACAAAGCAAGAATTAACATAACTCTTCATGCCTTACCCATCATTAAAGTGTTCCCCTTGTAGTCTATATTTCTGGTGCTTCTTCTTTGTCAAAGAAAATTGAAAGCTAGAGATTAAGAGGCATCACAGGAAAAGTAATTCTGGGTAGTCCAAATTTAGAAATCCCAACGAGAGTATCCTCCTAAAATTTCCTATCTTTATGAAGTATCTGTTCACAAGGTAGGGTGGTTATCTGAAACTTTATTTTAATATTTGCACTGAACAAATTATCTAAATCCTGCAGCTGGATTTAATGAAAAACATTTAAATTGATAAGGGATGTTTGGTGCTGCTTATGCCCTTGTTATAAGTAAAATAAAGGTGTAGCCCTTTGTGGGGACCCACACAAGTGTTTAAGTGAAGGGCCTTTTACTGCTATGCACCCATATTCTCAGGCCGACAAGAGTGTATGACTCACATTTGTAAATATTGAGCCGTAAAATAAAAATCTTTTTGCACGCAGTGTGATACTTTGTCACTACAACAGTTTGCCATGCCCTACACTCATAGGTGAACTTGGTGTCTAACACTCTGTTGAATGTTTTCCCATTGTAGGTTGTCCGTGTGCAGAACATTCATTCTGACAATCCTATAGTGACCCAAGTATATGTGAACAACGGCTCAGTGATACAGGCGTCTTCCGTGGCCGCCGTCTACGAGGGGAAGCTTTTTGTGGGAACTGTATTTCATAAAGCTGTGTACTGTGATCTCGAGTAACCACATGCACAGGTTATAAAATCTTTCTCCAGAGCACTTAAGTAACAACCACTGTTTTCTGAACTGTTGTATAAATTGATTACCTCCAGGAAAAAGTATGAGGTGTGCAAACATAAAAGTTAAATATTCAGTGCAGACTTCATCAAAACCATCTGACTTTTATAACAAAGAAAGTTTAACAAAATTGGTATTATTTCTAGGAATACACTGTTCTCTTTATTTTATATTTTTCTTCTTATATTCTTATACAATGAAACAAAGCTGTGGAGAGCTGGCAACAGCTCCTGGGACAGTGCTTTGTCTAGTGTGTGGGGAGGGCTTTTTTTAAAACCATATTTACCATAATTTCACTTTATAACAAAATGTTTGTGCACTATGCATGCATTCAAATGTCCACTATACCAAGCTAACATCTGGCAAGCTGAACATAATTGGGGTTATGGTCCACATCATCTTAAGTGGGAGTATTTGCCTGTTCTCAATTACAATTAAATGTAATTTACTAGTGATTTGTGACTCCTTGTTTAACCTGCAAATTTGATTTGTACCTGGTGTAGATGTGGCTGTTTTTAAGTATTGTGGTGAAAATGCCATTGACCGAAGATCAGGTCCTGTTCTTGTATAGAAATATACAGTGTACATGGGGACTGAGGTTTAGAACCTAGATGCAACTTGTAATGAGAGCCTCCTGTTCTCTAAACCCAAATTGGGAATATAGATGATCATTAATTAAACATTTATTTTTATTTCAGTTATTGAAAAATGTATAATCCAATTGCATAGAGAAAACAAAAAGAATACAAAACAAATTAGTTACACAAAGAAAGCATAACAAAAGTATTTATTTATATAACCGCATAAATATATTATGCTGCAAATTTAAATGGGTCTTTATGCAGGTTGTCAGTAGAAATGTGTGAAAGAGTGTGCAAAGTAGTAAACTTAGGACTCTTTTTTTTTTTTAAATTGCTGTATAAGCTTTTCAAATAATTATGAAAAATATTTTAATGAAAAAAATAATATATGTATATATTATTTATGTCTGTTTTGGTGTTTTGTACTTTGCGGGTACATCTGAGTCAGTTATTGATACTGAGGAGCTCTGTACGGTCTTTGTAGCCACCTATGGTGCCACCGTTGGGAAGATGAAAGGATCTCCCCCGCCGGCCTTGGTCCATGGCCATCGAGGTCCACCGTGCATTTTCTGCAGAACACACCACCATCCACCTGAAATCCCAAACCGCCCACTAGTGAGCGGTAGGGACCAGGTTGACTACCCCTAAACTAAGCAATAAGAGCCTGACTGAGAAGGCCAGTGTTTATGTTTACAAAATTTTGCACTATTTTGTGAAACATCTCCTTCGTTTGTTAGGACTACACAACATGCATTACATAAATTGAGGTATATCTAGGTATCCGCATGTACATTTATTGTATTTACATTAATTGAAGTCTCAATGTCCTTTCTTTATACAACAATATACCATATAAGGATGGTTTGGAAGAAAAAAACTAATTTTATTTTCATCTAACCAAGCAGTAATAAATTAACTGTAATTGAACAACTGTAAAATTTTCAATGTTGAGCTGTTTTTTTTCTTCCATTTTGTTTTCAAATTCTACTTATTTACAACAATCTTCCATTGCTGTATTTTTAATTTTGCTTTTCAAATACCTGGATCTTTGAAATCTGGTATATTCAATCTGACCACAAATTGCAAAACACATAGCAAGCAAGCAATTTAAAAAAAAGATAATCCAGCAGGATGATGCTATACACGAGGGGAGGCGTTATGAAGAAGATGCGTGCACGCCTACACCTCGCTGGAAACTTTGCCAGGTTCCAAGAGGACGCTGAAGCCAGCACAATGAAATGTGGAGTGCTAGTCGGTGGTGAGGAGGTCCAGGCTAAAGTATGTCGGACAACGGCCCTGGGGATATACAAGACTGCGGTGGACAAAACTGTGGACGGACTAGTGCGGGAGAAAAAGAAATCAGTGTGACGGCAAGTCAATATATCAAAGACATATCACAGCCAAGTGCTCGTGTACATGAAAAAAATAAAAATTAAAAGTCTGGAGCTTGGAAAACTTAATGAAAGAAAGGGAGCTGGGAACAAAAAAAAAAAAAGGCACCGGGAAGACAGAAACAGCCGGGTAAGGCAAACTTTAAACATTAATTTCCGTTTTAAGCAACCTTTCTGTTTGCTACCAAATAAGGGACGACTGCCCTGTATTTAAGCTCTTTAAGTTCTGTTTTTGTTTTTTTATGACAATACCATGATTTTATGCCAGTCTACTAAATGTTAAACTTCTGAATAACATATAGTAACAGGCTACAATCAAGCTCCAGTTAAGATATAAAAAGGTGAAGAGCAAAAGAAGAAAAGAAAGGGAAAAAGAGGAGAGAAGGAGAAAGGGAGGAAGAAGATAGTGGGGAAAGAACTGGCTACAAAAAAATTACACGAAAGTAAACATAACACAAAAAAGCATGTACCACAAGAAAGAAGAGAGTCTAATTTATTTTCTCCTCAAGTTTATAAGGGGAGCCAGCCCAGAATACAAGATGACTCAGGCTTGTTGGAAAATAAAAAACCTGATATAGAAAAAGGGCCCCTAGAAAACCAGTGGCCAGAACAGACTATCATCACTGCAGAGCATCTAGCTAATTGTTTTGACTCACAACTTGTAAAAATTAAAGCAGAAATTACCACCTCCTCTACTCATATTAAATGTGACCTTGTCAAGATTGGCGAAAGGCTAAAAGCAATGGAAGAGAAGACAGATTACATCTACTTCCAAATGCAGATCAGTACTGTAAGGTTGGAGAAACTTGAGGAAAAAAACAGAAAATCTACTAAAAAAAAAAATTGGAAACCTTGAGGATAGGTCACGAAGAAATAATCTCAGAATAAGAAGCATCCCCGAAAACATTACAGCATCTCAGTTAGAAGACTATTGTGAAGATTCTTTTTTAAATTCCTGGAATTATTCCCAAATAAAGAAACCAATTACATTGAAAGAAGTCACAGAGTCATGAAACCTAATTCGGTGCCAGAACATGTGCCAAGAGACTTGATCATGTGCCTGCACTCATTCTGCTTTAAAATACAAGTGGTACGTGCTAATGCTGTTAAAGACCTAAAAGAGTCACCTTACTCGCAAATAAAAGTTTTTCAAGGCTTATCGTTTCAAACTAGATTGAATAGGAAAGCATTTGCACTCTTTATGGCCAAACTGAAAAAACATGAAAAAAACTATGCATGGGGCTTCCCGATATGAATGATTTTAACGTATAAAGGCAACAAATGTGGAGGAGGTGATTGCCGACTAGTGTGTTAGGGAGAGTGAGTCTCCAGTTGATAGGAGTATGTTTAGTGAATGGCCTAGAATGTCTGTCTATATAATTTATATAGTTATGGTTGGTCAGTTGATACTTTGTTTTATGTTGTTTATGTATTGTAACACAATGAAATTCCTAGTCCTACCACATAAGAAGAGAAGACGATTAAAACATGGTTATTAGATTTGTCACAATTAATGCTCATGGGATTAATTTGCAATTTAAAAAATACACGATATTAGATTATATATAAAAAGAACATATCCATGTTGGAGCCCTTCAAGAAGCCCATTGGACCTTGGAGGATAAATACAAATTTAACTCAAATTTATATCCTATAATTACAAGTGCAGCCCTAACTAATAAAAAAAAAAAAAAAAAAAAGGAGTTGCATTCGTCTTTTCAAAAGATATTTCTTTAAAAATGTATCAAGCTTTAGATAGTGAAGGCAGATTTATTATTTTAGTATGCAAAATCAATAATCAAAAGTTTACCCTAGCGAATATATATGCTCCAAATACATCATCAAGCCCATTCATTAAAAAGGTTTTACATAAAATTGACCGTATAACATTGGGACAGCTTGTAGTTATGGGGGATTTACAAACTTAGTTAATAACGCAAAAAGATTCACTGGATTTATTAAACTTCACGCTCTGTTATATTTCTGGCGTATCTTTCACCCCAAAGAAAAAGATTTTTCGTGCTTTTCAATTCATACTCTAGTATTGATCTGATATTAGGAGACAGATCTGTGGCAAAAGTTATTAAAAATATATTTATTACTACGACTCCATGGTCTGACCATAATTCGATAATTATGGATTTAGAAGAAAAATATTAATAAATTTAGACTAGAATGGAAATTGAATGATTGGGTTTTGAAAAACGATATCAATTTGAAACATATCCAAGATCTAAAGACTTGTTTTTTAATGAAAATAGAGTGAAAGAGGTAACACCCCCAATTACCTGGTGCATATATAAATGCGTCATACGAGGCCATTTGATAAATTTAACTGCTAAAGAAAAAAAAAACTCAATAAAGATATATTTAGCAGAATTATATATAAATCTAGATAATTTACATTATCAAAATAAACAGGCTCCCTCATTACAATTATCTAATAAAATAGTGGATATTGAAAAACTAATTAATGACCAATTACTTATAAAGGCCAACAAAGCTTTTCCTAAAAAGGAAATGGTATCACCAGGGAAATAAAGCTGATACACTGATGTCTAAAAAAAGAAAGAGCTAAAAGAATGATCAATAAGATGATAATGGCGCAATGCTATTGAGGTCAGATAAAATAGGATCTGCTTTTAGTACATTTTAATAAAATTTATATAATATAAATAACAAAAACCTGAGCAGTTTTTTTTTTTTAATAATATCCCTATACCAAAATTAACACAAAATCAATTAATACAGTTAAATAAACAATTTACAGAAACAGAATTGATAAGGTGCATTGATAAATTAAAAGCAAAAAAAACCACCCGGGCTGGATGGATTTAATAATCTTTTCTACAAGCGAATGAAAAATAGTATTAAAATAGATCTGTTAGATGTGTTTAATGCCTTTAGACAATCAATTAATATCCCTAAAGAACTACTGCAGGCTTATATTGCCCAAATACCAAAACAAGACAAAAACCCAGAATTTCTTCGGAATTACTGATCCATCTCCCTGCTGAACATCGATATTAAACTATTTTTGTCGATGTTGGCAGAGAGATTGAAAACAGTAATTGAAGATTTGATAAATCGAGAACAAGTGGGATTCATTCAGGGCAGATTGGATATTCATAATACTAGAAGACTCATAGACATTCTAGACATCTGTACAGAGGTCGAGGACTCCCTTGCTGACCATTTCGTTAGATGCAGAAAAAGCATTTGATCGTGTCAGCTGGGAGTTGCTAAATTTTACTCTGTCAACGATTGGAATTGAGGGTAGATTCTTTGAACAAATAAGAGCATTATATAGTACGCCAATGGCTAAGGTGATGGGAAAGGGCTTTACTTCTGGTTGGTTCCCTCTAACTAATGGAACTAGACAGTAGTGCCCCTCTATCCCCTTTGCTTTATATTTTATTTTTAGAACCGCTTGCTGCCGCCACAAGACAAAACAAGGCAATTATGGGTTTTAATCCTGATACAAGTAACATCAAAATAAACATGTATGCCGACGATGTAGTGCTAACACTACAAGATCTGATGCAATCAATAACACAATTGGTAAAAACAATAGAAAAATAAATATAGAAAATAAACAATTCTACCACGCAATATCGCCAACAAAGTAAAAAAAAATTTTTTTTGCATTTTAAATTAGATTTCTTATGGGCGGAATATTCCTTTAAGTACCTGGGTATTAATGTGTGCTCAGATTCAACCAAGATAATGGAATGTAATTTTCTGCCTTTAATTTCCCAAACAAACAAATTGTTTAATAAAATGGAAACCGATGGAATGGTCGTGGTGGGGAAGAATAAACATTATAAAATTGTATATATATTACCAAAGTGGCTATATATGCTGAGAATGATCCTTCTCCCTATCCCAGATAGTTGGCTAACAATGCAAAATGTGGTTAAAGCTAAAATCTGATATGAAAATAAGAAAACAAATAATTAAAGCCCTATCTATTAAAATTCTTTATTATAATATTAAAAGATCTAAAATTGGACCCATGGACTAATGTTGGTATTGAGAAAATTGCAGACGCAATATCAGGATCTAAGATCATGACATTTGAAATCAGAGACAAATTTTCCTTACCACTTACGGAACAGTATTAAAAAAGTTTTGAAGTCTTTTTGCCCCTTAGAACATCTTGAAGTCTATGAGGCTCTGGGAAATTTTATTACAGACTATAAGACCAAAAATATTTTTTAAAAATGTTCCAATGTTTTGAGAAGCCTTGATTTGCCTCACATATTCCCAGGACTTAGAAAATGGGGGAAAATGTAAATTAAAAAATTTCAGGTACAGAATGGACATACACATGGAATCTAGTTTTAAAAAACATAACATTTTGGAATTTAACAGAACTGCAATTTAAAATTATGAACAGACTTTACCTAGATCCAAAACGCCTCTGATTTATGTTGGAGATGTAAAGCAGGCAGGGGCGATTTTATAAACATCTGGTGGAACTGTGATTTAATCCAAACTTTCTGGAAGAATTTACACTTGCAGATTCAATATATTGCAGAAGTAGATTTGATGCACTTTGAATTCATTAATGCTAATGAATGTTTTAAAAAAAATGTTTAATTCATATATTGGTGGAAGCAAAAATTATTGTTGCCAGGTATTGGAAATAAGATATTTTGCCTGTTTTTTAATAAAAGAACAAGTATTATTTCAGTTGAAAATGGAAAAAGGATTGACATATCAACGAGATAAAACTAAAGAGTATATTGAAAATTGGATAGAAAAAATTACCGATTACCATTAACATAATAAAGTAAATACTTATTTTGTGCCAATGACCCCTGATGCCCAACTATACTGACTAGGATTATGGTATCTTTTCTGCTTTTCCTGCGTCTCTTTTATATCGTCTTCTTTGCTGTACGCTGTACGCCTGTTATACCTGAGCTGGCTATAGCTCATTTAAATGTGAGTGGAATATATTTATCTTTTTATCACATATATTGTCCCTTACACTCTGTACGATTGGTCTCTTATCTTATGTCTTCCATATAACGAGAACAATCGGACTACTTTAAACAGAGAGGAGACCCCTTCATCAAAAGCACCTTAAAAGACATTTATTGCCACAGTGCAACTTCTAATCTTTTTGGACTATTTTATGTACAATACCAACTATTCTGTTTGCACTCTTTTTATGTCTCATTTATATGTTTTATAATATCTGTAGTCCACATTGATATATTTTGGTGCAGCCTTGCACTACTGTTGTTTTTGTCTTACAGTAATTAATACCTGACTTTTTCTACTCCGTCCAGGTAGTGTAACCACTATTCTTTCAACTTTGAACTTGTGAACTATGCTTCCAACGGTGTCTCTAGGAACATTCAGAGCCTTCTCTATCTTTTTGTATTCTGATCCTTGTTTGTAAAGGGCGATGATCTCATCTTTTAACTTTGTGGACCATTCTTTTGCCATATTTCTCACATGCAGTCAAACGAGGCACTCAACACACCCCTAGCCAGCTCAGGTATTTCAAGTGATCCATCTCAAGCACGCCTGGTGCAACTAATTAAACCCATGATTGGTTACATCAGGTGTGCTTGAAACAACACCTGTTTTGCATGTTTATGCTGTTGTGATGGATTCTATTCAGGCGCCAATTCCTAATTTATTATGTACCTATATATACTCCAACCTGCCAGGTTTTTAATGTTATCCCATTTTGAAAAAGCCCTAGTGGCGAAACGCATACATGGCTTTATTATTTTGTATTTTATATAATTAAAGATTGTTTTGGTTACTATTTGTGCCAACTATCTTTTTACACACCTTTTTACTTCTACCTGGCATCTTATCGATTTTATCACATACTTACAAGCTTATCCAAGGTGGGGATCATACCACCAACGTTGTTACCATAGTGCAGTCGGCCTGCACTATACTTCTAAGTACATTTTCATTTTTTATCAACGGTTATACCTTATCAAACAGTGAGCACTATTAGCTGTTTTTATATATTCCTCTCCTGAGAGCCGGACATCATTCCATCCATAGGACAATCATCCTTATATCCCATAAGCGGGGATTATTCCGCTGTATGCCTGTTATACCTGAGCTGGCTATAGCTCATTTAAATGTGAGTGGAATATATTTATCTTTTTATCACATATATTGTCCCTTACACTCTGTACGATTGGTCTCTTATCTTATGTCTTCCATATAACACCTGTTTTGCATGTTTATGCTGTTGTGATGGATTCTATTCAGGTGTTGAATTATTTTGAGGGTCTTAACATAACTATTTGTTCGACTGAAAATTTACCTTTTTTCATTCATTCTTTTCTCAAAACAGATTAATTGGCAAAATAGTTGAAGATCTGAACACATTTTATTATCAAACAAAGCATTTTGAAAGACTAAAATGTTATAATAATAAAAAATTGCTGGCTGAAGATCTGACATTTTATTGGACATACTAAACAGAATATTGGGATGATGGGCTGCAATCCTCAGCACTATCACTAGATGTCAGTATACATTTTACACAAGTATATGACTGTTGTAACTCAAAATATGCTCTTTTCCACTGTACTTGACACCAATTTGCAAAAAGAAGTTGCAAATGTGTATTTATTCACTTGCTGATTTATATATATATATAAACGAAAAAAAGACCTTGCACTCCTACTCACATGGCTTCAACCCGGTGCTTGATTGCACTGAAATGTATACAATAAGAAAAAATCAGCACTCCCAGGATTTTTCACATCAACTCCTTTACTTGAACAATGTCAAACGATCAACGTCACCCCCTCCGTCTAACAGACAGCCACTAGAGGGACTTCTGGGCTGTTAGGCGACTTCTGGAAAGCATTGGATTGACTGAGATCATCAGGATTAATTATCTCAGCCATGGAGGTGGGGCCAACCACAGAAAGACCAGCACGGTGTGGGCAGTGGCGTACACACAATTCATGGGGCCCCGGTGCAAAAATGATCCGAGGGCTTCCCCCTCCCTATTCCCCCCCAGCTCTGTGTGATGTCATCACAGGGGGCCTGGTCGCGCTGTTAAAGCACCCAGCGCTGACCGGGCCCCCTGACAATCAATCTCCATCGGGTGGCCCTGACAGCATGGGCCACCCGATGGACCACTTGGACGGCGGCCCCGGCGGTTTGCCGCACGGGCCAGGGCCGCAGAAGGTGTACCCAGTCGCAGGGGTCCGCAGGGTGGCCGGGCCCCCTGGATTGATGGGCCCGGTTGCAGCTTCGACCGTGGTATGTACGCCAGTGGGCGTGGGAGAAAAGGTAAGTATACTAACTTTTAACTCCGAAGAGGCGGGGGTGCACATCGTGTTAGGAATAGGTTTTTCCATTAACGAATTATAAGTAAAGGTTAATATTTGAATTAATAGGGTACAGGAAGTCAATGTAAGGATTGACCAAGGAGTGACCAGATAGAAAAATCAGCCTGATAACAGCATTCATTACGGACTGTAGTGAGCCACTATGGTTACTGGGGAAGATCAGTCAGGAGAGAATTACAGTAATCTATGTGAGAAATTACAAGAGCATGAACAACAATTTATGCAAATAAAAAGGTTATTTAGAACAATGTATCTTATTTACACAGACTGATTCCTAAATAAATTGATTGCTGTTTGAAGACACACTCACAGAGCTCCATAGAAAAGAGGGACATTATTATAAAAAAGAGGGACAGAGGACAGTTGGGAGGTATAGATCATAATCCTGAAAGGTCTTGTGGTCTAATATAAACCCCATACAAAACATGTGCAGAGTGGCAAATTATCAAAACAGAAACACCACCGAAAACCAAGACATGACGTCACCTTAGCGACCGCCCGGCGTGGCCTGTAACCATGGCGACACAATGTTGTCACTAAACGTTCCACTGTGGATTCCACGCGTTCCTTGGTTTCCGGGTCCGTGGGTCGTGCTCGTGTGATCGGCGCTGGTCAGAGCCATGTCTCAGCATGTGCCCGCCATGAACAGAAAGAACCTGCACAAACTGGCAGAGGCCATGTGCAAATCTGTCAAACACTGTGAGTACACCGAATAATAATACAATCATTAATTCACTGTCATCATGGCAACTGGCCGGAGTGTCATTAATATACAAACTCACAGCCACTACCATGAAGCTCATTAATAAACTTGTATCAAATAAATGTAAACAGGATTCTGAGTAATAAACTATAATCTTCCAATAACGAGGCGGGTTAAAAAACTTACATACACTAATAAACTTATATCCAGTTATCAGAGGCTAATTAATAAATTAGCATCCACTAACAGGTAGTTAGTTACTGATTGATACATGTATACCCGTTTATCTAATTAATAAACTATTTCCAATAATAAGAGGCTAATCCATAAACATCCGATTACCAGAAGCTGATTAAATGTATACCAGGAATCTGATTAATAAACATATCCACTAACAATAGACTGGTGGTTCATAAACTTATATCCACTACCATGAAGCTGATTAATACACTTATATCCAATTACCAGAGGCTGATTAATACATTTACATTCACTAACTTGTAGTTACTGATTAATAAACGAATACCAGGAGAGCAGTTTCCACATCAAGATTATTCTTGAGAGCAAATTATGAAAAGGAGCCCTTAAAGAGTTAAGGGGTGAGAATTCAAAGTGAATGTCAAATTTGAGGCCAAAGTAGATGAAATGGAAGCAAAGGTGACTTTTTTCAATTCAGCTATTTTGGCCTTAATTTTGGAACTCTAACTTTATTGAATAACCCTGTTAGTAATTCAATATGAAGGTGTGATGTTCAGATAGAATAAGGGTTTAATTTAGAAACATGTGGCTTGTGATGAATGTACAACTGAATAGTAACATTAAGGCTAAATCTGCAGAGTAGGAAAACTGGTTCTGAGTTAGCTCCACTAAAAGCTTATTTGGGCCCCCTTGGGCCCAGTAATACACTTTGATTTGTATGTATTCATTCAATTATTTGGTGCAGCATAAGTACATTTTTATTATATGTTAAAATAACCAAGTATAAAATCCTTTGGATCTGTATTTCTATCTCGGCTTATGTTGTCTGGCAGGGTTATTCTCTAAACCAGAAAATTACCATTGTCTAAAATTTGAAATTCAAATTGCCCGAGATTTTCGCAGAAAGATCAACTTGGTGGTACAAGGAGAAAGGCTGAAGAGATTGTAATTCCCCTTATAATTGTTTTGTTTTGTTTCAGTCAATAAGAATGAGATGGAAAGCCTTATACGCCTATATTATAGTATAGTTGGGCGTCCAGTTGACGCAAATACAAGGGGAGGTGTGGATCGGAATACATTCCGAAACATCCTGCACAACACGTTTGGAATGACAGATGACATGATCATGGACCGAGGTGAGCGAACATCCACGCTCCTGACTTATAAATGGAAATTCTTTCTTTATGTTCGTAGACACTTCATGAATATTTATCTTCCTGTTATTTATTGCATTGTGCCTTAAAATGATTTAACTTTTTTGTTGTTGTTGTAGTTTTCCGTGGATTTGACAAAGACAATGACAGTTCTATTAACGTCACAGAATGGATTGAGGGTTTGGCTGTATTTCTTCGAGGGACATTAGATGAAAAAATAAAATGTATGTGTAATCTATAATCAAAGAGAAGGTGGATTAGGATATTAAAAAATTAGATAATGAGTATCGTAAAGATACAAATAATAGAGAGTATAAGGAAAAAGATGAGGAAATGTGCCCAAGGTTAAAAATATTAGATAATAAAATATAAAAGGCAAAAAAATAAACCCTTGTTAAGTGTAATCTATATTTGAATAAATTGCTTTTTAATGCAGTAGTATGAAAAGCCAGAGAATAGGTTGTCGATTATGTATATTTATACATTACAAAACCAGTCATTTAAAAAAAAAAAAGGGATGATTGATTGACTGTTAAGAGATGTAATAGCCCAACACCCTCCCTATTTTGCAAGAACATAATCCAGTGACCTATTTAATTGACTGACTGACAGGGAGTGGAGTAAAAGATTTCACCCTTATGCATTGCTGATCAGTAGATGCCTCCATTCAGCTAATTAACTCTAAAATCTTCTGTAGGTGGCATCGTATCCCTCAGATTCTTAACTTAATCTTTCTTACAGCATCCACGCTCTGCTGGTAATGTAACACACGTATTGTAACCATGGTCACACCCAAGAATTGCAAGTTTTTGAGCAAATATATATACCTCATAAACGACTCCTATTTTTGGAACTCCAGTTCCCAGCACCTCATAGTTATTCTTATTCCATCACACTACTCTATCCTCTTCTAGACTTATTGAATGCATCTAAAAATGTAATCCCTGCTCATTGGAAATCATCTACACACCACCAACCCCTTAAGGACCAAACTTCTGGAATAAAAGGGAATCATGACATGTCACACATGTCATGTGCCCTTAGGGGGTTAAAGCAGGGCTGTCCAACCTGCGGCCCCCCAGATGTTGCTGAACTAAACCTCCCATGATTCTTTCAATTAAAAAGATAGCCAGGGAATAATGGGAGTTGTAGTTCAGCAACATCTGGGGGGCCTCAGGTTGGACAGCCCTGCTTTAAAGAGAGGGTAGACAAAGTAGAAACTATCAGGGTGATAGAAAAAATTAGGTTACCTCTTCTCATAGCTATAAGGCAAATGTCCTTACCTGGTCTCCATGACTACATTTCCTCCACCGATCTCCGATAGAGGGGGCCTCAACATGAACTGTCCTAACCACACATAATATTTACCTACAATTCCCTTGTTATCCTCACACAGGGACAACAATACTAACTCACTATGCATTCTTTTGTATTTCCACTTTTGTTATCCTTTTTATGAATGAATTTTAGACATTGGGGTGTATTGGTCGCAAGCTGTAATGTCCGTATTCGCATTTGTTTATTTTTTCTTGGCTGAAAAATACACACTCTTTCCTTTGTTTTAGTTGGTTTACAGCTTATTAATTGTAAATTATCTTTATGAACCTTCCATAAATTTTAAACATAAAAAAAAATGTGTAAAAATAAATAAAATTATTGGGGTTCTCAAGTTATGGTCTTGAAATACAGTTTTAGAACTATGTATTAGAATGCAACAGTTTTAAAAATGTAATTGAGTGCTCTAGACTTCAGTTGAACCCCTCCAATTTTTAAGGCAATTACAATGAAAGCTATGAGAGTTCTTTTTATATCTTAAACATTGCTGCACAAAGGTATCTAAAGATGTTTTGTGTTAACATTTAAAAAATATATTTATATTCTTCAGGTGTAAAGGAAAAATTAAGTATTGTGCTTTATTGTCTTTGATGCTCTCACTTATGAGTACATGACCGATAGGTGCTTGGAGTGTCTCTGTATTTTACTGTATTTCTTTTTCAGTAACTGGTTTTGTTACATAATGACTAATTGTGTTTTGTTTTTTTGTGTTTTTTTTATAAAGACTGTTTTGGAGTCTATGACCTGAATGGTGATGGATATATTTCCAGAGAAGAGATGTTTCACATGCTAAAGAACAGCCTTCTAAAACAACCAACTGAAGAGGACCCTGATGAAGGAATAAAAGATTTGGTAGAGATAACGCTGAAAAAGATGGTAAAAATGATTTTATTGCTTTTAGAAACTATTTGCATTATACATATCTCATTAACCCCTTAAGGACCAAACTTCTGGAATAAAAGGGAATCATGACATGTCACACATGTCATGTGTCCTTAAGGGGTTAAAGGAACACTATAGGGTCAGGAACACAAACATATTCCTGACCCTATTGTGTTAAACCCACCATTTAGGTGGCTTGCCCCCCTCAGCCCTCTTAAAAGGAATTAAAACTCACCTTATTTCCAGTGCCGCCCGGGACATTGGGAAAGCATTGGATTGGCTAAAATCGTCAAGGAGGTGGGGCTAAACACCGTTTTGGCCAATCAGCACTTCTTCATAGAGATGGATTGAATCAATGCATCTCTATGAGGAAAATTCAGCGTCCCCATGCAGAGCGTGGATACGCTGAACGGCAGTACTGCCTACTGTGCAGCACTGAGCCAGGAAGCACCTCCAATAGCTATCTGAGGAGTGGCCACTTGGAGGTGTCCCTAAGGGCAATGTAAACACTGCATTTTTCTCTGAAAAGGCAGTGCTTACATGAAAATGCCTGAAGGCAATACTTATACTCACCAGAACAACTACATTAAGCTGTAGTTGTTGTGGTGACTATAGTGTCCCTTTAACATACTGTCCTACACCAGGACCATTTTACTATTTAAAATGGATACTCCAAGTACCATAACTAGTTCGGCTTATTCTAGTGGTTATTTGGCTTGTAATCTCTCATGGGAAAAAAAAACCCCTACCTTTCAAATCCTTGCTGATTTCTTTATTCTGTATTACATCTGACACCCAAACTACACCCTCCTGTCATTTGTGGAAGTATTATTTTCCCCTTTCACCAATCCAAAACACTTGTATACTGTGAGGTCACATTGCGTGCTTACACCATGCGAATCCACCTACTGTGTACTACACATGCAGGACGTGGGCTAGTGAACTGTAAGCATGCATACAGAGCCCTGTTTCCTGCAAAGCTCAGATGATTGTCGCTGAGGTGACTAGCAATCTGTACTCTCTCTGTGTTCCCTCACAATACATCTTTTTCAACTGATGAAGACTCGCTAGAGGTTTTATAGAAAAAAACAAAACACCCAAGTAATTAGAGTGTTTCTTTACATGCGGTCTTTCAAAAATACTAAATATTGGTATTTACTATGCCACGGTGTTGGATTTAATCATGTGAGGGAGCTCCTGTACTCCGACTGAGTACTTCCACTTAGTTCACTTCCTAGCAGCTTGCAGGGACCCTGGAAAGAATCAGCCCCAGTCGCTGAAGCTTGACCAGGTTACAGCTCTCTTCTTCCAGGCAGGTATCCACACTATTTCCTAGACCAGGGCTGCCCAAAGATCCCTAGATGATAACCCACAGCTTCCATGATGCTTTGTCATTCTAAAGGCATGCAAAGCATCATGGGAGTTTTAGTTTACAACATCTTGGGATCTACCTTTGCGTACTTCCACCTTAGGCTGTGATCAGATACTGCCTTTACAAAGGCACTTGTGATTCTCAGGCCTCTCTCTTTTTAACTTGTCCCAGTATACAGGGATCAAGCAGCAAGTCAACAGGCCCAAAGACTATGTTACTGGGATCCCTGAACAAATCAACCAGGACACACAGTTCCAAAAGGAACTAACACAATCAGCTTTATTTATTTATTTTATTTTCACAGGAGTAGCCCGTATGCACATTACATTAAACTTACGGTAACAACCTCAATATAATACAAATAACCAAATCATATGGGGACACATACAGGAACTTCCTTGCCTGAAGAATTCATAATATGAAATCTACCTGAATATGCAAATTAGCAAACCTTGCTTTTCAGGTAGTGCATATAGCTGTTTCAAGATCCTTGACAACCAACAGATGGTGCTTTTACATGCTCCACAGCCAAATCCACCTAGTTTAGTGATGGCTAACCTTGACACCATAAACTAGTTCTGCACTACATTTCCCATGATGCTCAGCTAGCAGTTAAACTCTAAAAGCTAGCTGAGCATCATGGGAAATGTAGTCCAGAAACAATTTATGGTGTCAAGGTTAGCCATTACTGACCAAGTTGGTTGAAAGAAGCAGCAGGACAGGAGAGCACACAAACATTTCACAATACACAAATACATTTTACACACCCTGCACTTATAATGGGCATGGGGTGACTAAGACATAAGAATATTGTGGGGACCTACATAAAGTGTCCATCTTCCACCCTCAGTGATGGTGACTACCGTCACAATTCTCTATCCAGTAGGGCTCTGTCAAAGCACTTCAGCTTTGTGGGTGATGACTACTATTTTAATAAAAAAGAACATCTGCTGTCATCTCAACAAGTTACTCTTTGGGGAATAAACATAGTAAACCTACACAAAGTGGTGCAAAAATTGACATAGCCCAGTACAAGAAAATCCAAACAAATGACTTGCCCTGCACCCCTGTCCCACTTGCTAGGTCTGGCAACGTTGAGATGCAAGTGAACTAATGAGTTCGTTATTTGAGTACCGACAAATTAGAAGAGCAAGGTTAAGCAGCCAAATAAAATTATGGCCCACTCTTCTGCCAAAAATATACTTGTTTGCTTTTATTTAATTTATTTTTTTCAATTAGTGTTTACATAATGTGTCAAAAACTGACCAAAATAGGAATAGGCCTTGCATTTCCAGGAGTACCATTCAAAAGAGATAAAGTACAAAGAACATATATTTTACCCAACTAAATTTCCCATTAATGAATGATTGTGGATTTTATAACTGTTGTGCCCTTCGCAGTGAATCATGTATTAAATGCACAGTTTATGTAAAATGTGTTTCTTCTTTTGCAGGATTATGACCATGACAGCAAACTGTCCTATACGGATTTTGAAAAAGCTGTAAGAGATGAAAACCTTCTTCTAGAAGCGTTTGGTCCGTGCCTACCAGATAGTAAGGTGGGGTGCTTTTCTATTTTTATAACATCTTCTAAAAAGTTACAAAAATAATATATAGACAGTTGTTTCACAAGGAAATCAAAATATGGAGTGCAAGGCAAATGACAGTCAAAGAGGAACTTTAAACAAAACCAAAAACTGATGTATAACAAATACCCCCACCTCCCAACTACAGAATATTACAAACATACTCAATACATATATAGGATGTAGAAGACTTGGAGGTTCAGTTTGATCCGAACTGTGATTCGTCCAAATTTGGAACGATTAAGTGAATTTATGAACTCCAAGATGATTGAACTGTACCTAAATGACGAAACAAACATCAAGGCATGCAATGGCCGAACATGTTCATTGACTTGTGATTCTAAATACTGCCTGTGGTGTGGTCTCTAAAAAAAAAAAAAAGAGATATGATTAATGGCTAGGGGACAGTCACTAACTTTTTATTCACGGCTCAAGTGATAAGTGAGCAATAGAGGGGGGAAAAGGAGAAGTAAGAAACAAATATGTTTATAAATTTAATATAGGATGTAAGCAATCACTATAGATTAAAAAAAAGTATTTGAATACGCCTGTTTTTCCTGAGATTAGTTTACAGATGAAGTGAGAAAAAAGTAACCAAACTGCAGGAAAATAAATCAGTGGGCTGCAGACTTCAAAATATATACATCATGTTATATTATGTATGCATTTTGCAGTACACTTATTGGCCCATTTTCACTCCCTTTTGGTTAGCCCAAATCGAGTTTTATAAGTGCAGAAATTCTATTGTCAATGAAAAACTGTTCAGCCAACGCAAGTTTTCACACCATGCACAAATCTAGCATTTAAGTGAAATGCAAAATGAAGGTAAGTTTCATAATTTATTTAAAAATAAAGTTTTATACTAAAACGTTGCACATACAGATCCAAGCACCATAACCACTTCAAATTACTGAAGCTTGGTGCTTGGAGTAACCCTTTAAATTTGATGCATTTTGCAGTAATTTTGTGTATATTGCAGACCTAGACTTGCTATTTAAAACATTAAGTAACAAATAACAGTTGTAGTTAGTCATCCTGCCCCCTGAAGTGACATGGAAGCATCCCATAACTAATAGCATTCAACTTTATGCAAAGAAACATGGAACGCTGCTTACATCCGTCGTGGTTGCATAGCCTTCGCTTTCTATAGATGATGCCACATTGCAGAGTAAGAAAGAGATCTACAGGTAAGTATTTTTTTTTAAATCCATGCATTTGCTATTTCACCAGTATATTGTGTTGGTTACTTTCCTCGAGGTGAGTATGCCTTCCAATTTGTGCATGACAGATTACTTTTAATACTGTGCTCGGTGTCATATTTAAAAACATGTAAAAGAACTTTTAATTAACTACACCATTTCTACCAAGAAACAGCTAATGATGCTCATTTTCTTCCGCTTTAGAGCATAATGGCCTTTGAACGACAAGCATTTACAGAGCCAAATGATCAATAGAAATGGATCTACATATCATTGAAGGAGATTGAGCAGCTGATCTTTACAAAAGAGGAAGACATGTCTTTAAATCAGTGCATATAATAAAAGCCTGTGTTCACGGTCCCATATAGACCATTACAGAGTAAATGTGAAAGACAAATGCAAATGTTCTGTACAATTAATTATGGGTGCACACTCCAGAGATCTCTCACATTATTGTGTGTTATATTAATCTCTGCATTATGAGTACAGTAAAATGTGTTGTGTTTTTATAATAAAAAGTAAACATCATGCAGATATGAGTATATGGATATAGACATTAAGCTGTCAAAGTTAAATTCTTCTTCTCTGCTTCTTTGGAGCTTCAGATTGTGCCTCATTTGATGTATTTTCCACAGTGGCCAATTTAGGTGTGCCAGAAACCTATAAGATAAACAGTATTAGTAGTTCAGACAGAATAGGGCAGGAATCAGCAAAGAAACAATTCTAATACAAACCTTTTCTGTAAAGAATTACGTAACTTTCTCGTGCAGCAAATAGGACCCACATAATACTTATCATTCATTTACCCCCTGAAATAGGCATCCTTCAAAATGGGTAATCCCTGGTGGCCAGAACTAGGAACTAAATCCCCAATTAGGACTGTGGGTTCTCTTTGATTGAGACATACATATTGTATATAATAACTTTATAGAGAGAGGAAAAAAACAAAACACAGAAATTCAAAAAGTCTGTTATAAAAGTGCAATAAATACAAGGTATTACACGTATTCAAGTAGAAAAAAGCCTGTGACATCAACTGGACTGTTCCAGACAATTATAGTTCCCTGTTAATTTACCATTACCTTCTGCTACACTTGTTTTCTTAGGGACCTATATCACTTTTGGAGGCGATTGGCTGCTCAATGCAGCTGTTAAGTAACAAAATTTGATAGCTACTTAGCATCAAGAGGCAGTAATGATGAATTTTTAACTGAACTTGTCCATCTTCCAGTAGGCTCTTTGTGGATAATGTGTAGATAAGCTGCCTTCAAGCACTAATCTTTTCACAAACGGACTGTATTTGTTTAAAAAGACACTCCAGACCCCTAAAGCATTTTAGATTTCTGAAATACATTGTGTGTGAAGAATGTGTCCCCTTTTTTAATTTTACAAAAAGTACGGATTTCAAAAGAAAGACACTTTTACAAATTAACTTTGTTACATCCACATGCCTTTCAAGCAGACAACTGGCCCTGCTACTTCCTGGTTTGTTTAGCTCAGTGAAGCTAAACTCAAGATGCAGGCAATTGCCCAGAGCAATTATTTGTAGTTTGGCATAGATGTGTCCCTTTAATACACTATAGTTGTTTGTTCTGTCACTTATTTACTAGTGTTCCACAATAACAAATATACAATTCTAATTTGAGTCATGTCTGGCACATTAAAAAAAAATAAAAAAAAAATATTAAAGTATAGGATATATAATCATAATACATATAAACAAATATACGCATACCTTCTTTAGTTTCTGTCTAATGATATCTGCAGAGATATTTAGAGAAGTATCGTCCATATCAAATTTTGGAATTTCTGGTATCTGTGGTCCAATTACAATATCCTGGGTATCAGGACTTGATCCACACAGGGCAAGGGCATTGTTGTGTTCTCTTTTTCTCTGTCTCTCCTGTAGCTGGGTAGTTCTGGGTGTGAATCTCACAAAGTTACCCCCAGAGGTGGTATTTTGATTTTGCATTGGAATGCTTGGTCTAGAGTTCTGTGGGGTTCCTCGTGTGTGGCAGGCTGCATCTGTTTGGGAAGCATTCCCCTGAGATGGTTTGGTACCGGTATCCTCCAAGACAGAACATGGGTCCTGAGTGCTGCCCTGGCGGAAATTAGCTCTAGCATATGTAGAGGTAAATCTTATAAGATCATTGAGATGTGAACGAGTACCACAGCTGCTGCTAGGAACAGGGATGAAATCTGATTGAGGGGTTTTAGACTCATATGAAGACATGTCTTGTTTCTTCTCTGGTACAAACCTGTCTTTGAAAGAAAACATAACTTGTTCACTTTTGTTTTCATTTATTTTTTTCCATGTCTTGTTCAGAGCTAGAAAGCCATCTCAGGTAGACAAAAGGAAAGATTTAATTAAATTTAAAAATAAATATATATAATCTGGAAAAAACAACAACCAATTAACTTCATTGTAAGAAACAAAAGAAAAAGCTAAAGCGGCTGTCACCTCAAACCTGCCTGGCTCCTAATGTTTCCTCTTCTCTTCCTCTTTCAGAATCTGTTCTTCAGTTCTGATCTATTTTGATTTCTAAACATAATAATGTAGGGACTACTTTGTCTTATGTATTTTTCCTACGTTTGACAATCTTGACAAAGGGTGCAGCTTAAAGTGTTACTATAATGCCAGGAATACAAATTTGTATTCCTGGCACTATCGCTCCTGTTTGGTAAATAAAGGGTTTTTAACTGGGTATGCACCGAAATTTCAGCCAAAAATGGGCCTATCCTGTTTCGGATGAAAACGGGTCAAATTTGCCGAAATGAAAAAACATTATGTTTTTAAAGATTTTTTGTTGTTGTGCATAGTTTAACAGACATGCTTGCATTAACAATTCAGATGATTATATATCACAAGGAAATTATAACTTGAAAAGTCAAGAATACTGCACTTGAGACGGGGGGAGAGAGATCACTATGGGACAGGGGAGGAGGGGGAGAAAAGAACACTATGGGACTGGGGAGGAGGTAGGAAAGAATACTAAAAAGATGGGGGAGGGAGAAACATTAAGGAGGGAGGGGGACCACTAAAAGAGAAGGGAGATCGGAAGTTTTTTGTAGTAGATTAAGTAAATTCATTAAAAAGTCTAATAATAAAATTATAAGAAAAAAAAAAAACTTTTGGGGAAAAAAGTCAGTTTCGGTTTTCGGCCAAGGGTATCCTGAATTTTCGGTTTCGGACCACAATTTTCCTTTCGGTGAATCCCTAAATGCAGGTGTATATTTTTTTCCGAGTTATGTGCACACAGTTATACATATACAATGCCAAATCCACCACATGCACACAGTTGCAGGCAGACAGTCATATACACAGGATCAGGCAAAAACACACAGATACAGGCAGATAAACACACACAATTAAAGGCAGACAGTAACACATACAGGTACAGCCAGCCAGCCAGCCATACATTCAGTCAAACACACACACAGGCAGACAATCACACATATTTACATCTGTGCATTATGGAGGAGTGGAGGCAGTGCAGCTACTGGAGACTGGTTGTTGGGGAAGCAGGGACTCCTTTTTGCTTCCCCTGCAGCAGTTACCCGGCACTTTTAGCCCCGCCTCCGCTGCAGAGTAAGGTCCGCCCCTGCCACAATATTGGGAGGAGGGTTTTTTTTTTTTTTTTTTATTATCCTGGCCGGCCGTGCGTGAGCTGTGTAGGCCTCATGGCGCCCCCTGCGCCCATGGTGCCCTGTGCGGCCGCACAGCTCGCACACCCCTAAGGCTGGCGCTGTCCGTGGTATCCTGAAAACATCTGCATAGGTGAGGTTTATGGTAGCTGGAGTTCTGCTGTCTACTGTCTAAAAAAATAAAAATACTGTCTGTGCTCTCCAACCTTTGCTGTTGCCATAAGACATTGCTCTGCAGACATTTATGGGTTATGATCGGCTCACATAGAAAGCTGTGGGTGTATTAAGACTGGATAAGATCTCAATGGAAAAAAATACAACCAATTTTTGGTGTATTCCTTTAATATCTATTCTTTTTTTAGTGGAAAGAGGCAAATATATTCCTACTAAAGGGGGTCACATCTCTTAACAAACCTTTGTCAGATGTTGATCTTGCCACAAATATTCTCCTGTCCCGAAGTTTCTCTCTAGTCTCCTGAACAGTTTCAAATTCTGGGGCATAGCATACATGAAGTAAACCACCAAAAAAACTATGTTCATCCATTTTCCGTTTGGCAACCCTGAAGGCAAACAAGCAAAAGAGAAATATTTCAGAAACAAACAGAATTAAGGAATAAAAAAGACGAAGTGGGCAAATGCTCTTGTTCTTAGAATCAATAACATTTTATTGAACCATTGCCTCTGTGACAGAAGCAAAAGTGGACTAAAGCCAAAATGTACAACAGGGACTCCATCCCTTCTACTCCAAATGGGCATTAGGGACAACTTTCAAAGGCACACAGGAGAACAAAATAGAAGACCTGGTGCACCACTGTGCCATAGCAAGTAAAACACAGGAAACAGCATATAAGGTCTTCACGCAATGGTACCTAACACCTGATCGCTTGCGCAGGATGCATCCTGAAATGGATGGTCTATGTTAGAGGTGTGATGGAGGAACAGGTTCCTTCACAGACATATGGTGGTAGTGCATGGTTATAGTACCTTATTGGAGGCACATTACATCTATCATTGCAAAAATGTCATATAGTCCACTACCTTTTCTGCTGACCCCATATCTTCTTCATCATACCACTTTTTAGATAGAAGTACTCCCTGACAATATGCATCTTTAATGTAGCTAAACAATTGATACTCCTATACTTGAAATGGATCATGGCCCCACCAATATCGCTTTGGTTTACCAGGAGAGGGGAAAAGTGGGTGGAGAAGCACCAGCCAATGGCGGCTAGGCAGGATGGAGGCAGCTCAGTTCTCCACTCTCCTTCCTGCCCTCTTGTGTTTTGTTGTTGTTTTTTTTCCCCCCTCTCTCTTCACTCCTGCTTTTGTTTTCATTCTTTTTCCTCCTAATTCTGATTCTCATTCTTCTACATCATTCTTTACTGAAACCAGTATCCTGGTACAAATTTGAAAATACAACTCTAATGTCGATGGGAGCATAGATAAACTGACACACCGTAAGAAACCGTAACCCTGGACCGATGGTTATTGTTGACTATAATGTTCTAATAACTGTTTAAATTGGAGTTCCAATGTTTCGAGGGAAACACGTCAACTATCAGATTTGGGGGACCTACTCATCCACTATTGCCAATACTTGTGTATTGACATTAAACATAAAATAAATAAATAATAAAAAAAAAGGCAAAATGTAGTCTAAGGATTCCATTGCATGTTACTCTATGTTGAGCACGTTGCAGCCATAATAAATATGATGCATGCATGGTTCCTGGTCGGTGAGAGTACCTCACTGCAATCTGCAGTGACTAACTGCTTTTCATTTAGAATTAAGAGGGAGGACACTAGATAAATTCCTGTGTTAATTAAATATCAAACAGTATGTATTGAAGTAACATTAATATGATAACTTTAAAATCAAGAGCATAGACAGAAGCATGCATAACAGCCTCAGAAACTGCTCCTTTGTCTACTGGTACTACTTGGCACTATGCAGATAGACAGGTAGTTTTTTTTTTTTTTCCTGACATCTGCTGAACATGCTTAAAAAAAAAAAAAAATTTAAAAATATAAAACAACCTCATGACAACCAGTTCTTGTGATGACTATGTTGCTAGAGGCAATTTGACACTTTGAAAACTCTGAGCTTTACCTTGCACTCTGAAGCTTCTGAAATTTAATAAGATAGACGTCTGTGAACTCCTCTGCAGGGTATCCATCTAAAGGATTGTACTCTTCTATAACGCCATAGAGGGCAAACTGTTCTACCAGCTCCTTCATTACACCTATTGCTGGAACGCCCTGCACCATCAGATAACGAGACTCAAGATTGATTGTGTACACCTGAAAAAAAAAGTGAGAAATAGATCTCTTAACATTTAAATATAAAGAGTCATTTTGCACAATTTTAATTTAATATTTCATCCCAAACTTTGCAATGTACTTCAAGATTACAGAACCCAAGACCTGATACCAAAAATCCAGATGTATGCATTTTTTCCCCCATTGGCGGTAGGGGAGAAATGCATACATCTGGATTTTTGTAACAAGGATCATTTATAAAAGTGCCATTTCTATTCAAACCTGCATTTTTTTTGTAAAATGAAGAAAAAAGAAAGGACATTTTTTTAAATTAATTTTTTAAATGCACTTTTCACGCATAAAGCATTTCAGCGCGCTAAAGTGCTTTAGGAGTTCCAAGTATCTTTTTAAAGATTTTTCCAGTTTGGCTATTTTAACCTTAAATTTGAAATTCACTTTGAATTCACCTTGACAGGTTGGGCCTCAATGTTTCCATTTAGGTCCAAATTCGGAGTTTGGTGTATAAACCAGAATGTATTTGTATTTGTGGCACATTTAGGTGGCTTAGCTAGCAAGATTGTGTGACCAAAATAGCCAGGCTGCTATGTTTTCATCTCAACTATTTTAGTCTAAAATGTTAAAATTCACTTTGAATTCATACTTCCAGCCATTTCCAATTTAGTGAACGCCATAACTGTCACGGTTCCTATAACCCTGCCCTGAAATCCCTGCTTGAGATCAGGTGTGCAGCCTCTGCCAGTCACCGCTTGCAATGGAGGGGGCACGGTCCTACTGTCACTCACTTTGACAGCTCTCGGCCTCCTTCCTTCGCGATACTTGGCACGGGAGTCACAAACCCGTTTCTGTTCATGGTGTCCCTGAACCTCCAGCTGCAAACCCTCATTCCTTTCGGCCGCCATGACACCTTACAGCTCTAAACAATACGCCTTCTTCACGGGATCCATTTTGGTGGAGTCCATGGCGGGCGCCCTGTTTACCCCGGAAGTCCGAACCAACCAGGCTTTCCCTGTAGAACGTTCGTGCTTAGAACTCTGGCTCCAATTCCCAAGGATTGGACGATACCATTTTAATAATAAAAAAGGGGGGATTCTTCCAGGAGCATTTCAATCTATTTTTTAATTTTATTTTAATAAACTGGGGTTGATGTAAAATCCAGCGCTGATATCAGTTTAAATTAAAGGTGCAGTATGCCTGGAAGTAGCTTTTTGTGTTACTATACAGGTTTAGTAAATGTACTGTCAGAGATCCCCCCCTTGCTGAGTGGGTCGGTCTACCCGCCGGTGAGCCCTGGCTGCCTGTGTTGATGTGATGAGCTGCAGTCTGGGTGATGATTGGAGCGGGGTTGGTGGGGGTCTCCGTGAGGCTGTGCCGCTCCAGGGATTCCTTCCTGCACCTCACACCCGAACTCAGAGCCCAGCTCCGCCTGGAGCAGGTAACACCTTTCCCGGGTCTGCCCCCTCCATGGCTGCCAGGTGCAGGGGGTGGGATGCAATGGGATGGGCAACCCTAGCCAGGGGTACCTACCTGCTGTGTTTACCTACCTAGCTGTCACCTTATACCCCAGCACTGTCTATGAACCCAGCAAACCAGAGCTAGAGTCACATGTAATGAGGATTCTATATCAGATAGAATTCTGGGACAAAGTTCTAAAAGTGGAACACTCAGCTGGAACTCTGAATTTCTCATAATAATATATCCAAATAAAAAAAAAAATCTCCAATTAACCCTTTAAAAAAAAAATTATTATAGTAAATATATATGTATGTATGTATGTATGTATGTACAACTGAAATACTAGATGGGTCCTAGGTATTTCACTTGTGTCACCTATATGTTATAAATGCTATCAAATCCATTTGCCCTAGCTCATGGCAGCCCATCCTTAGCGTTCTGCATATTTCAAATGGCATTATGGAAAATAGTCAACTATACGTGAAATACCTCACTTTTACCGGGCAAGAAAATTAAAGTAAAAGCTCTGGGTTGATCTGTATTTTTGTCACTTTGGATGCCTACACACCCACTTTAGAGAGTTATTATGATCTCATAACTTATTTTACAAATTTTGTCTACGTGAATTTACCTGTGTTCTAAAGTAAAACCTTTGATCCTGGCAGTAAAAATGCACATAGGTGAAAGGATGTTAATAAGTGACTATATCATGAACAATCGCAGAATTTTAAACCATCAGGGATTTGTAATAAAAGGTGCAGGAAAATTGAAAAGGTTTAATTCTTGTTCGAAAAAAAAAAAAAAATAAAGGAAAAAAGTTGCCTTTGTTCTCAATATATTTATTTATTTTTTTTTCTTACCATTCCTAAATTTAGTCTAAATTGAAAATTGGAACAAAAAATGTTTGTGAAAGAAACAAAGGAGGAACATTTTTTCATCCATAATTTAACTGGTTTGCTCTCTGGGTTTATTGCTATTTTTTTATTCAGTAAGCATATTCTACTGTATCCTTGCAGTTAGTACCATCTCCTCACCTTTATTTAATTGGATAACCTCAGTTTGTGCTACCCATAGAGCACTGTGGGGTTTTCATCACAGAACACAGAATTGTAGTGAAGTTAAAATCAGATTGCAAAATGGGATGTATTCATTATCGGTAATTTATCATGAATCTCCAAGATTTAGGTACTTTAAACGAAATTTGAAATTTACTTTTCATTGATGTCCAATCATAGACTTCCCGATGCTTTTTGTAAAATGAAAAAAAAAAAAGGACTCACTTCACACACAAAGCACTTCAGTAAAGTGAAGTGCTTTAGGGGTCTGCAGTGTTCCTTTAAGAGTCAAACCATTATCAAGCAGTTTGGTACTTGCCTGTGTCCTTGAGGTTCCTGCAATCTAGCTGTTCTTTAGCGATGGCGTTCAAAGGCACTATTTTCACATTAGCAGTATCAAGTCTATCCATCTTTGGATGCAATTCATTTACTAAGAGAGGCATTTTGAAGTTGATGAATTCTATCCAATCTTGATGTTGGTAAAGAGACACTATAGGCACCGAGACAACTTCAGCTTATTGAAGTGGACTGGGTGCGGTGTCTGCATGAGGACTTCCAGCATCACATATATATGATATGTAACAGGGTTGATGTTCCAGGAGGGATAAGCCAAATGGCAAATGATTTAGGTAAACTATAAAAATGGTCAGAATTGTGGCAACTGACATTTAATGTGGATAAGTGCAAGATAATGCATCTTGGGCGTAAAAACCCAAGGGCAGAGTACAGAATATTTGATAGAGTCCTAACCTCAACATCTGAGGAAAGGGATTTAGGGGTGATTATTTCTGATGACTTAAAGGACCACTTTATATAGTGCCAGGAAAACATACTTGTGCCCCCACCCTCAGGGTCCCCCTCCCGCCCGGCTCTGGGGAGAGGAAAGGGGTAAAAACTTACTTTTTTCCAACGCTGGGTCGGGGAGCTCTCCTCCTCCTCTGATCCTCCTTCGTTCCTCCCATTCGGCTGAATGCGCACGTGGGGCAAGAGCTGCGCGCGCATTCAGCCGGTCGCATAGGAAAGCATTTACAATGCTTTCCTATGGACCCTTCCGTGCTTTCACTGTGATTTTCAGTGAGAATCACGCAAGCGCCTCTAGCGGCTGTCAATGAGACAGCCGCTAGAGGCTTTGGAGGAAGGATTAACCCGTTTATAAACATAGCAGTTTCTCTGAAACTGCTATGTTTATTAAAAAAATGGGTTAACCCTAGCTGGACCTGGCACCCAGACCACTTCATTAAACTGAAGTGGTCTGGGTGCCTAGAGTGGTCCTTTAAAGGTAGACAGACAATGTAACAGAGCAGCAGGAAATGTTAGCAGAATGCTTGCTTGTATAGGGAGAGGTATTAGCAGTAGAAAGAGGGAAGTGCTCATGCCATTGTACAGAACACTGGTGAGACCTCACTTGGAGTATTGTACGCAGTACTGGAGACCGTATCTTCAGAAGGATATTGATACTTTAGAGAGAGTTCAGAGAAGGGCTACTAAACTGGTTCATGGCTTGCAGGATAAAACTTACCAGGAAAGGTTAAAGGATCTTAACATGTATAGCTTGGAGGAAAGACGAGACAGGGGGGATATGATAGAAACATTTAAATACATAAAGGGAATCAACACAATAAAGGAGGAGACCATATTTCAAAGAAGAAAAACTACCACAACAAGAGGACATAGTCTTAAATTAGAGGGGCAAAGGTTTAAAAATATCAGGAAGTATTACTTTACTGAGAGGGTAGTAGATGCATGGAATAGCCTTCCAGCTGAAGTGGTAGAGGTTAACACAGTAAAAGAGTTTAAGCATGCGTGGGATAGGCATAAGGCTATCCTAACTATAAGATAAGGCCAGGGACTAATGAAAGTATTTAGAAAATTGGGCAGACTGGATGGGCCGAATGGTTCTTATCTGCCGTCACATTCTATTTCCCCCTAGGAAAGCATTAACTCAATTCTTATCTATGGGGAGGGCCTAATGCGCATACTGCACTGGGCATCCATGCATATTAGCGAGCTCCTCATCAAGCGACGTCAGAGGAGGCGGAGCCGCGACCCATTATAGTATCACGCTATAGTATCCCTTTAAAGGACATACTTGAACCCAGGACATACTTGAAAACGAGAGAAATCTCAGTGTATCTTTCCTGGTAAAATATTTTATAAATAAATAAATAAAGTGGAAGGGACCTCGGTAAGTAACAAAAAATTTAAAAACGGTAACAATGGGATAGTCCCAGGGGACTGCTGGCACTGTAACTGCTTCAGGGTTCTGTAGATATTATGGTGCTTAGAGTGTGTTTATAGATGAGTTGGAGAATAATTTTTTTACAGATGAGCTAATTAGCCTCATACTTTTCAAAAACAAATTTGAGCTGAGTGAAAATCATCTAGAGATTGGTATACTTTATCTTAACACTAGAGTAAAAGCTGTTTATTATCACCAATGGATTATTTTTTTGTGTAGAATCATGCCGTGGAGGTGTCATGGGGCGAGAACCCGGTCTATCTGGGTTGGATTGAGATTCGGAGTAGAGGTGATTCAGGGTATAATTCCGTGGAGTTGAACAGGCAATTTGGGGAAACGTTGGGCCTCTCAGATGGGCAGCAGGTATGTTACAAAGTAATGCTCAATGTTTTATTTTACAAAATTAAGTTTCAGTTATACGTTTAGTAGGGATTATATTTAAAGTGAATGTTCATTAAATTTTTTTATTTTTTTTTAATGCGTTTTGAATTGTTGTATTTTGTATTAAAATACTTAACTTTGCAAAGTTGGATTGACCATAACTATTTAATTTAAAATGTATTACAATTTTGAATTGGTTAAAGGGACACCCCGTGATGTTTTCGTATATTAATGCTGTCTATAAAAAGCACAACCACCATAAACAAAATCCAGAATTTTCTGCAGAACCTCAGGCTGCGTATGATTTACAATTAGCTCTAATTGTACAAAAAACTGACTAATACTTACTATACATAAGCAGTGGTTTATAGGTACAGTAAGGCTTTCTGGGAGTTGTAGTTGACTTGTTTGCTTTTTGCTGGATAAAGCTTACAGCTGAACTACAACTCCCTGAGTCCCAAGTTATGACATCATGTACAGCAATACTTTAGGAGCAAAATGGAAAACATTACAGGGTGAATTGGAGGGGGCAGACAGAAAGTGGTCATGAAGCATTAGTAATTAGTGTTTCCAAAAATGAAGCTTGAGCAAAAAAATAAATAAATAATCATTCACAGGGTTATTAACTGAAGGGAGAATTCTCAGTAATTCTAAGTAAATTTCACATTTAAAGCCCAAGGAGCCAAATTGGAAGCATAGCTGATTGGGAGAATTCTCAAAGTTTTGCCAGTGTAACTAACTACAGCCTGACCTACTCAAACATGTGCCCATTTGATTATCCTCAGGTTTTCCTGAAGCAGTGTTCCAATGTCATATCTTGTAAGGAAATCACAGTTGAACCCCTATCCTCTGATGATTGGGAAATACTGGTAATGTCAACAAAAATTCATGTCTTCATATTTGTGTTTCTTTTTTTAAAATTTTTTGTTTTGTTTTGTTTCATGAATACTGAATATTTATTGTGTAAACCTTGTTTTAGGAGCTTCATGCATCTGCCCTTGAAACACAACTTCTAGATCAAATTCGTGTTGTTTATCCAAAGGCCATCTTCCCAGTATGGGTTGATCAGCACACGTGTATCTACATTCAGATTGGTAAGAGAACGCAATGTACAATTGGAAAACTAGTGAAGTGAGAATATCGACCTTAATACAGAACAAATTAATTGCTTTTATGATATCAGAATTTACGTTTTACCGCTTTTTAGAACAAATTATGCATCTTATCATTTGTAGATTTTAATAGGGTGGTGGAAATTCTCCTGTGTTACATTAAATAAAGGGTGTTATTTATAAAGGCAATAAGGGAGTAATTGGGGTCAAAATGTGGAGAAAGATCACATTACATATCCATCTAAGAAGACTGTGCTCCAGTTTTATCTTGACTTACAAGGTCAGTAATACTTTGATATTAATGGCTATTATATAAAATAACTAAAAATTGTAAGTAAATGTTATGTTTTGGGTGTTTTTCTGTTATTCATTTTACTGCTGCAACACTTAATTGGTTAGTATATGAAAATCAGAGGTGCAATCTCTTTGGCTGGTTTTAACTATTGAGAGGATAGATTCCATTTACCATCCCTAAAAATATGCATATCACATGACTTTCACGTATAGTTACATTTCTGTAAGTAATCTGAATTTAAGCTTAAACCTTACTATACATTTATGCATCTGAACAAAAATAAACATTACAAGAGTCTTAGTGTTTTATAAAGGAAAGAGTAATATGGTTTAGTAAGTAGTACAGTTTAGTGGAAATAATCACCCATGGATAAAATGAGGTTAATCTAATTTTATTTAGTTTATTTCTCAAACTAAATTTGTTTATAATTTTGAAAGAATTATTTCAAGCACAATGACCACTTCATCGACTTGAAGTTGTCATGGTGCTTGGAGCATGTATGTGCAGCATATGGCATTGAAATGCTGCACATACTGACATTAATCCTATAGCTGCCGGAATTATAACTCCACCTTCTGCAGCGTCTTTAGTGAGCCCAGATTAAAGTTCTGGATAGGTAATGTCAATTCTTTGCAAAATTGGTGTCTGACACCAGCATACTAGCACCAGACAGCCAATGTCTCTAGCCTCTCTCTGTCATCCCTTCCTGACTAACCTCCTCCAGCAAGGGAGCTCTTCTCCCTCTGCAATGGGAAAAAAAGGTGCTTTTATGCATTTTCTTTATCACTAGTCTTCTGGTGTTTGAGGTGGGGGGTTACTACAACCAAAACTGTTTTTTGGTTGGAGCAACCCTTTAAAGGGACATGCATCACTTGACAATATGTTATTTTAAACTAGCAAGCAGACACTTTTAAACAAATATATAAACCAAAATATAGCAAGAAAAACTTTGAAAAGTATGTAATAAACATACAATAAACTTGGTCAGTTTGCATTGTTGGGCACACCTCTCAGCTAGGGGAGTTTTTTTTTACCCCTCCCTTGCCCACCCTCACTAATCCAGTTCAGACCAGTCCCTTAATGACAGAAACAGGGCATCATTGTAGTAGCAGCAGCAACCTCCTCCTCATTCTCCCTGCACTTTCAAACACGGCAGGTAGAGGTAAACTTGACACCGGAGTCTGCTCTGCATGAATCACACTGATCAGACTTCCTCACTTGTCAGGATGTTGCAAGGTGACGGGATCTTCAATCTGCACATATGTGACACTCTCAGGCATGGCCAATGCAATTTTTAAGCATGAAAACAAATATTTACAGCCTGCAGAGTGAGGCAGCTGTATCATTCAAAGCTAAAGCTTTTGAATAAGACAGTTGTTTCAGAATGATGCATGCCTCTTTATGTAATAAAGAAATAAAACTGGACACATCGTAAAACCTGGATCACAGGGTCCCAGTTCCAGAGAGCATGGCTCAGAGAGCATGTACAAAGCCAAGAAATATTACTAATTAATTCAGTCTACACACACTATTCTGTGCTTGGTGTAGTGTATGGAATTTGTAATGCTAAAGTGCCTTTACATATTAATTGGAACTTCTACCAACACAGCTTGTTACATGGGATTTTATTTATTTTAGGTGCTTTGAGTCCTCCTGCAAGTTATGGCAGATTGGAACCTCTCACGGAGCTAATCGTATCTCCGAAAACCAGAGGTTCTGAAGCTTTTTCACCGCTAAGGACAGATGAGTTTTACAGAGGATCGAGAAGTATTAAAGATCTTAAAACAAGTGTGACAACAGGGACAAGCAGTGGATCTTTGTCAACTGATGGGGAAACTGAACTTGTTGAAACAGAGAACATTCCCAGTGAGTCAAGTATATGGGACACACTAGGAAATTTATTTTTGAATGCCATAGGAAGGAAATCCTCGACATCACCCGAAGCGAGTGCAAAAGATTTGTTTGCAAGGACTTTGCTACGAAGTATTGACTTGGAAGCAGTGTTTAGAGTATCTAATAGTGTTCCTCCTATTATAAGGAGTAGTCAGGCATACAGTGACCACTTGAACGATAACACGGTCCAGGTTTTCTTATGGTACCCAGAACCTCCAGGTTTAATATCAGATGTTGTATTATCGTTTGGGCGTATTGTAGAGCTTCCATCACCCAAAAGACGAAGGGAAATTGCAAATACTAAAGCAGAAGGACATGAAAAGAGCAAAATAAAACCAGAGGATGCAGAAAAAAGCACACCTGTGGGAGTCGGCACTCAGAGATCCAAAGAAGTAGTGAAGATTGTTTGGCATGGCTTTGAGGATCTAAAAGATGTAATAGAGTATGATACCAGGAATGGAAATACACATATTGCGAAAGTTTGGGTCAGTGATTATTAGCGTTTTGTAATGATGAGATTGGCCCGTTAGATGCATTGTATAGAAATTGTAACAAACTCAGCACCATAACCACCACAACATGGTCTTGTAGATATGTTACCAATAGTCTCTGAATGCTGTCCCATGGAGCTGTCAGCCACATTAATAATTTATAATTCACTCTCCGTTACCTGTATTGATTCTGTCCACCTATCCACCCCCTAGGCTGGGCTAAACTGCTCATATCACTCAGCCTGCCAGACTTGTAGAAGTGTAAATTTGACATTATCAATGCAGCCTAGTGCTGTGCAAAGCCCGCTTTTTATATCTATCTATTTATTTAATTATTGTCACACTCCTGGCAAAACCTTGACAATCAGCTGTAGGACACCAAACGTAGCATCTTTGCATAATAAAAATTGCATGTGGTTATGTTGGTTTGACTACACCTTTAAGAACTGATATTAGCTCTGCTGTGTCTGTCTGTTACATGTGCATACTTGCCCCAATATCTTAAAGGACAACTGTCATCGGATTTTCACTTTTTTTCTTTTGATTACATTTAATGAATGCTTTTCATTTATTTGTTTTTTAATGATGTGTATTTATTTTTAGTAGAGAAAGGGGAGGACTGGTCTGAAGTATATATATTCTGGCTATGGCCTAAAACTGTTATTATTTTGGCCTAAAGTTTGGTGTTGTCTTTTCAATTCACCACAATGTCTTGTTTACTGAATACACTTATTAGGTTCTGTAAAACTGATTATTTCTGTGATTTAATATATTTTATGACTTTCCTTTTATAAAGATGTAGACCAGTTTTCAAAATTTTAAAGCCTTTGACTAATGAAAATTTCAGCTCAGACGAGTAGAAATTCACTCTTGGTGAATGCACCATGGACCCTCCAGGCTTGCAGTGGAGAGCAACTTTTAGGGCTTGGCTAGTAGCATAGGGCTTGATATTTTAAGCCTAGGTTTACTACGTGCAACACCTTTTCAATAGAAACATTTAACTATTGGCTGTGTAAGGTTTTTTGTTTGTTTTTTGTTGTTGTTTTTTTTGTTTTTTTTGTTTTGTTTAGTTTAGTTTATTTTATTATCAGTATTGCTTTGGAATGATTTTGTCTTGAAAAAAACATGTTTCAGCCCAGCTACTTGCACAAGGTGTACTAAATTGAAGGGACACGTCACTGCCCAGCTACAAAATAAATAAATCTTGTATCCTGAGCTTAGCTCCACTGAGCTAAACAACCAGGAAGTACCAGGACAGAAATATCCCACACAATAGATAGTATTTCAATACAATCCAAACCAACAGAGGGGCCAATAGAATTGTTATTTGTCTACCATACACAGAGTTCAATAGGGATATCATTATTCGCAGTTAACCATATTGGATGCTTGCAGTTTTAGAAATGAGAATTTTTTTATTGGTAGTTTGAATTGTCCAGATCAGCAGTGGGAAGTCTAAGTATTGCAAATTGAGCAATTTTGATGTTTTAGCAGTCATGGTTATAGTTTTGTTGTGTTTTTTGGGGGTTTATTTTTACAAATTAATTTCAGGTTCCAGAGACCTTAAGAAAGAGATTGAATATTAATGTGTCTTCAGCGGTTCATATACAGTCATGTGACTCCTTTCCAAAAATCCCTGCCTCAATTACGCTCCAACCAACAGAATCCTTGGTGAGTAAATGCTGTATTTAACCTCTTCTCAAATCCTACATTATAGAGAGATTTTTAAAGATATCTTGCTTAAAAATTTAAAGAGCTGAGATTTGGCAATTGTATGTTTGACCTACACTCTAAGTTTGAATGATTCGACAAAAGCCTGCATACATGTAAACCTCATGTATAGCAAACCCAGAGTCGTGTGATGTTATTTATGTATTTGTTTTAATTTGATTTGTCTTATTTAACTAGGGATGTGAACAGAACTTAAAACTCCACCCAAACTATATTGATATAAAAAACGATTGGTGTTTATTTATTTTCCTTTGTTTTTTTTTTTTTGTTTTTTTTACAAAAGTGATATAACTCCTAAATGGCAGAGAATTAACCAGCGAGACTGCAGGAGCATGATCTATACTCCAAAACTGCTTCATTAAGCTAAAGTTGTTTTGATGTCTATACTACACCTTTAAGCTCTGTCCTTTCTACTTGGGAGTCGTCATTGTTTATCTACAGTGTATTTTGCATTTTTTATTTATTTATTTATTTTTTCTTCTGGTAATGACACCATGTACTGGTCTTTTAACTTTATATTAAAGATTTAGCAACTGCATCATATTCCAGTTCAGTCCAGGCACAAGAAGGGCACAATCAGTGTAGTTAAAGATGAGCCAATTACAGAGTTCAGGGTGCCACTATCATAATGTATGTTTAATCTACCAGCTTGTCTCAACTTAATATAAGACAATTATAGCCAGACAGTAGGTGGTAAAACTGAAAACAATTTATTATAAAGGACAAAAATACAAGAAAAATGAGCCTTAATGGCACATAATACAAATGAAGGGGAGAAATAGAAACATAGTTTCATTCCTCCTCTTATCTGTATGCTTTCCCTACGACGGCAGAGCGTACTATACACATCAAAACAACTTAAGCTTAACCTCTTAAGGACCAAACTTCTGGAATAAAAGGGAGTCATGACATGTCACACATGTCATGTGTCCTTAAGGGGTTAATGAAGCAGGTTTAATTTATAGATCATGCCCCTGCAGTCTCACTGGTCAATTATCTGCCATTTAGGAGTTAAATCACTTTTGTTTCTGTCCATGCAGCGCAAGCCACACCTCCCCTGGCTAAACCATTCAGTAGTGATGCGATACACGGTGCAAATGGACTCCAGGTAACCTAACCACTTCAATCGTTGAAGCGTTTATGGTGCCTACAATAATTCTAGCAGTATATATGCTTACCTGTAGTATCTGCTCTATCTCTAACTAGACTGATCTAAATAAAATGCACCTGTGGATAGGTTACTTTTCTAAAATTTGGTAGGTAATTATTCATTTCAGTTGAAAAAAAGATTTATTTTTCTTTTTTTATTTCCAGGGTAGAGAGACAACTGAAGAAGATGTTAAATCAGCATTTAATTCCTGGTTGCAATCTTCTTGTACTTTAAAAGTACCTTGGGTTTTAGGGGAAATTACTACTATAAACATTCCCATTGAAGAAAGTAAGTTTGCACGTTTAAGTTTAATATTCTATATATTAGTTGGTTAGTTATAGGTACAGGAGGTTGTGATATGAAACATTCCGGTCCTTACTGATTTTCAGAGGTCTTGGTTTTAGCAGTTTCATTACTCCACATTCCTGGAAATGAACTGTGTATTCCATAAATGGAATTATAATGATTTTTCTTTCTTGTTTTTTGTTCTTTAAATGTGCTAGTTAAGAACCAATGTACAAGGAGCTGGTTGGCTCCTCATGTTACTACCCACTCACAATACTCAAAAGCAATAAACTTCTAGAACGTTTGTGTATATATACACACACACACACACACATCTATCTAATCTATCTACCTATCTATCACCTGCACTCCAGTGTAGCAGCTCTGCAGTCAGTATAGTACAGTTCTAATGATAGCACTCCAAATACTGCTTAGGTATTGATAATAAAACTTAACTTTTATTTAACTATAACAAAATAAACAAATCCCTGTTTCAGTTTAGTTAATAAGCTGAAACATTGATCCTGATGAAAGTGTATTAACTAAACTGAAACGTTGATTTTTTTATTTTGTAATTGGTAAATAAAAGTTACGTTTTATTTATTTCCAATACCTAGGAAGTACTTGGAGTGCTATAATTCGAACTCTAATATATCTCTATCTATATCTATCTCTTCGATGAATGTGTTCTTTTACATATGATCCATTCATTTTTAAAGTGGCTCTGTCACGGCTATATCGCCTCTGAGTATTTAATAAAGATAATATTGACATTTTTGAAATTTGATTTAAATGCCACAGGAGTGAAAAGGTACCATGAAACAAATTTAGGATAACCTTGTCTCATGGTCAAGCCCCAAGCTTCTTTTTTTCCCCCCTTCTTTCATTTAAAGCAGCTATTAATGTCATGAGAGCTCGTCTATGAAGGGTCTTGGAGGTCACTTTTTATAGCAGTGTTAAAACTGTAATTATACTATTGTCATATACATGTTACTATGTACACATAATATACCTGTTCACCTGTCTGCCTTAAAGATAAAACGGCTTGGAGTAGCACTGTCTATTTATTCTTTACTAGAACATGTCATTATGTTTGCAGGAATGATGGAATTCTTTGTTCGTGTGAATCCCACAACTGAGGAGACAAGTGAAGATAATTTCTATATGTTATGTCCAAGTTTCCTTCCGAAGACCAAAATTAATGTAAATACTGAAGTAATCTGGTACATAATGCTGCTGCTTGGGTGTAAATAATGCTACATTTCTGTTTTACAAAATGCATAACAATATTGTCTTTGCACAAAATTTGTATTGGGTGGGAGTGTTTTATGTATGTCAATTTTCAGTATTAATTATGAATTTGGATAAATTATAACTTGGTGGGAATTTCTTGTCCCCTAGATCTTGCTGTAGTGCATTACCATTTGTATCAGTACAAGGATACTTGTTGATTCTTTTGTTATAGAAATTAATGAGTTACGGCTTAATTGGGAGATAAAAATACGGAAAAGAGTGCGCCTGTGAGGAATACATTTATAAATAGAATAAAATAAGTATAAAAATAGCTTAAAAGTAGTCCAGGTAACTTAACACTAGTCCAAGTAAGGTAATCCAAGACAATAGGGAAGGTTCTTTGTGGAGCAGCAGACTGAATTGATAGTACTGGTGTCACGAAATAAAGCTTGTCATCCGGTAGGACATGTAGAGAAGAAACCGAAAAGAGGACTCCAGTGGTATGGTATATAAATACACTGGGTAACAGAAGGTATATAAATGAGATACTACTCACAATATTCGGAGCTAAAATCCAGCTCTGGTTTGGAAAGTGTGAAGTGGAATAATCCCCATTCAAGGATATACGTGGTTCTTCAGGCTTCCAATCTTGTGTAAGAGAAGAGTAGTCCAACCAATTTGCCGAGCAGACTCACTACTCGGTGTATAGCGTATGGGTGATAGAGTCCCCACTTAAGGATTCTTTGTGCTTCTTGGAAACAGCAAAAAGTGATGTCAGGCCATATTAGTAAAGACTAAAAAAAGGAATATGGCAAGTGTGGTATATAGCCAACAAATTCCTTTATTAGAGAGAAATGTTAAGTTTCTAAACGCGTTTCGCCTACACAGGCTTCTTCAAGTAGAAACTGATATACATTAAAAACATAGACCTGACAAGCAAGGGTGTATATATAGGGAACTTAATTGGGAACTGAACTACATTCTGTAAACAGATATTTAATTCTAGGTAATTCTTCAACCTTTGGCATCGGATGAACGCTCGCGGGTCGAGCAGTTTGACCAGAGTCTCCCGTACTTGCAGACACAAAACTTGGGGTATGTGTACAAAATATTTTTAACCTATGGATTCGTGATTCCAGAGCAAAACAGTATTGCATGTCTGATGCCCAAACTGTTCGTTTCAATTGATATGAATGTTGAATTAAAGCCAATTATGACGTACTGTTTTGTTTTTACTCTCACCCAATGAGCTGACCCTGCACAGCAAAGCTTAGCGAAGAAGAGCTAGCAAAAGCTTCTAGCAGGAGTTTCTGCCTCTTCTGCTAAAAGTCAAACTATTGGCAATCAGTATGACTCCTTACACAGATGTGTCAAGGGCCATTCCTGACACTATCACTGCTACAGGCATTGTGTAGTTGTTATGGGGTTTGTAGTGTTCCTTTAAGCAGATAGAATGCAATCATGTGAACCCCTTTTCCAGTTCCTTATGTCTTCTGTTCTGCAAACATTTAAGTCTTTGGTGCGTAATTGTTAGTTTTACATGTCTACAACGTTCAACATTAACGATAAGACACTCTATCTTTCATAAACGAAGACTAATCACTTCCACTTTCATACACTTCCATGAGATTGGAAAAGGGGAAAAGGAACAGCATATGGGGGAACGGGTTTCAGATCGCACAATCATTACATAGCATGCCTGTGCATTAGATTTTTAGAAACCATTGTCTTTTCTTTAACTGAAAGCCTTTTAAAGACCGTAACTGTATCATTACACTGATGACTGTGCTTCACATTATCAAGCTAAACATAAGATTAGTGATACAATGAAGGCTACTGAAAGGCACTAGTACACTGTTTCTGAATTACAGGGGCTTTGATAGCCTGGTGACGTCTTGCTATGAACATGTTGTCCATTGCCTCATGGGACGGCCCTTGTCTCGACAACTAGTGGCGATGGCTTCAGGACTTCGAAGCGGAGCAATCCTGATTTCTGGAGTCAAGGTGCGTGTGAATTCTGTGCATTGCCATACAACACTCTATTCTAGATTAAACAAAATAAACTCATTGCAGTTGTTATGCTGCTGTGAATCTTTTGTTACTGTTTGCTTGGGTTATGTTTAACCTTTTGTGAACAGTACTAAAACATGTCCCATTTTGGACAGGAAGAATAGACTGAGAGCTGTGGACATGGATTAACTCGGTGCTTCAAGCATGTGGTTTTTTTCCCCACCAATTCAAAATGGGTCAGGTATTTGGTATTGGGAAGACCTTAGGGCATAGGTGAAACCACTCAAATAGTTTGACACAAACCAGGGAAACTGCACTCAGACAGTGCAACTATATTCACTAATATAAGCTAAGCTGTAGAGGTCATTTTGCTTAGAGTGCACCTTTAAGGAACAAGAAAAACACCTGTTCAAAGACTTTAAGTATTTACAAATTTTCTATATTGTTTTGCAGGGATGTGGAAAAACCACGTTAGCAAGAGCTTTATGTAAAGAAGCATTTGACAATCTGGAGGCTCATGTGGAAGAAATCAGTTGTAAATTACTAAAAGGTAACGTTAGTTATTGTGGAATGTGATACTTTGAAACTTTCCTTGTGTCCCAATTATAGTAAAATTTATACATTAATGTTTCCAAATTTAATAGAAGCAAAAGGTGAATTTTGCTACCTGCGTGTAGTCTAATAGATACATATTGTACTCTGACAGAGCATGATTAAGCAGCTGTATTTGTCACTGTGTGTGTGTTTTCTCATCATTCTTATTTTTGTTTCTATTAGTTTCTATTAAAGGGTTTCTCCAAGCACCATGGCCACTTCACTGATTTGAAGTGGTTATGGTGCTTGAATTCTGTTTGAGCAGCATTTCACTATGAAAAGCTGCATATACAAAGTTTAACCCCTCTGCTGCTGAAGCTGTAACTGTTCCAGCGAGATGGGTGGGGGGACTGGGCTACAAGGAGATCCTGGCCAGTTCTAGGGGCAGTAAACCTTTAAGTAAAAAATTATAAATTAAAAAACAAATTCATATTATTCATATCAAGCTAATTTGTGTTTAGTAAATGAGATGGGATTCCTACTATGTTATTCTTCAGTAGACCATGTTCATGTGTTACTACTTAAATAGGAGGATTTAGCCCAGTGCATTAGAAAAGCAGTCTTTAACATAATGCAGCTCTGCGGCAGTCTCCTGAAATCCTTGCTTTTAATTGGTGTGACTGGTCATCTCAAGAACCATGCTGTCTTTCAGGAAAAACATTTGAAAATATACACCAGGCCTTGGAAGAATTATTTGCCGAAGCTGCTTGGAGACAGCCCTCTGTTGTCCTACTGGATGATCTGCATCACATTGTTGGAATTCCTTCTACACCTGAGCTGGAGCACAGCCCTGAAGCAGCTCAAAGCAAGCAGCTTGCATATGGTAACCAGATCTTAAACATTCACCATATTTAATAAAACAATAATTAGGTAGAAGGCTATTTTAAATATGTGATTTTGTTCTATGTCTTTCAAAAATGTTTATTTTCATCAATATATGTTATAAACAAATGAAAAATATAAAAATGTAATACCAGACTCAGAATTGAGCCTTTGTGAAGTGGCCCTGTGACTGAAGTGCTTTACATTGCCGCCTAGTAACACCTCTAGTGCCAGTCACTCAGACGACCACTAAAGGAGCTTCCTAGTTCAGTGCCGCACAGTATGCAGCACAGGCGTTCAGTGTCTCTAGGCTCTGCATTGAGTTGCTGAACGTTTTCCATAGAGCTGCGTTGCTTCAATGCATCTCTATAAGGATATGCTGTTTTTAGCGGAGCACAAAGTGCAATAGCCTCCCAATGCTTTCCTAATGGAAAGCATTGGATTGGCTGAGATCATCAAGATTGATGGAGAAAAGGTAAGTAAAATCACTTTTTAACTCTACAAAGTGGAAAGGCCTGAAACCTAAATAGTTTAACACTAGTGTTAGGAATACATGTTTGTATTCCTGGCACTATAGTGTTCCTTTAAAACAACAGGGGCGGATGCCTCCCAGTTTTCAGAAGAGGAAAGTCCTCAAAACCAGAAGGGAGAGGGCATGCTGCATACATAACTTGAATATATTATATGCACTGTGCACATGTTTGAAGTAGCAAATAACTTTAAGCTCTGGTGAGTAATACAAGACTAATCCCTGGTGTAACTTGACAGAATAACAGGTGTAAATTCATATGAACCAGACACAAACTCACTGATTATTATTGTTACTGGCATATATAAAGCACCAACATATTCCCCAGCGCTGTACAATGGGGAAAAAGACAATATACACGGAGTAACAAAAGATAAAGAGGGCCCTGCATGTGAGCTAATATCTAGCCACTAAAGCTTGTTAACCAAGATTGTTCAGTCAAGGAAACATTGACTATTTGCAGCAGTTTACTGGGTATGAGTATTCTAATAATAATATATAGGGCACGGGCTTTGAAACGAAGCTGGTGGGAGTCTTTCACTTTTCTTTTTCTAACACTCTCATAATGCTATTGACTTTCCATTCTAGCTTCTTACATTGGATTGAAAATTGCTTTGAATGTCTACTTGTACAGGCCAAGACTTAGGCGGGATTAGTATGCTCTTCCAATGATATAAGTGGATGCAAGGAAGTATACATATGTACCAACTAGGTTGCTGCTGAATAATTGTATTATAGAAATGTGCAATGTTAACCTATTTATCTTTTATCTTTGTTGACTTTTGTCTATAAATGAACAATAAAATACAGATTTAAAGGATCACTATAGTGTCAGGAAAACAAATTGGTTTTCCCCTCCCGTGGTGCTGAAGGGGTTAAAACCCCTTCAGTTACTCACCTTCTTCCACCGCCGGGCCCCCTTACCTCCAACCCCGCCGACGTCAGCTCCCCTGTCTGACGTCAGCGGAGCGGAATGCGCATGCGCGGCAGCATTTTTCAATGCTTTCCTATGGACGCTCTGTGTGATGGAGGCATAATATGCCTCCAGCGTTGTAGATGCGCCTCTAGTGGCTGTCCGGAAGACAGCCACTAGAGGCTGGCTTAACCCCAAATGTAAACATAGCAGTTTCCCCCTCCAATAGTTTGCATTATTATTTTTTTTCATTATTTTCTTCCAGTATTGAAAGGTCTGATGAAGGATATAATTACCATGGACACTCAGATTGCTGTTATTGCTACAAGCCTCTCTGATCGCTCCTTGAATCCAATTCTAATTCCTGTGCAAGGAACTCATCTATTCCAGTGCCTTAAAACCATCCATCCACCCACTCAGGTAACGGTTCACCTATTCAAGAAACAAACTGGATTTGTAAAATATTTTGAGTTTACACATCAATGGAACATTGTCATTGTTCAAAGAGCAGACATATGTACTTTGTTTGCTCATAGATAAAGTACTTGTGTTTTTTTCTTCTTGATTTCACTTCACTTTACTGATTCATCTTCTTTTGAAATGGTGTAGTAGAGAGGTTTGCAGCTGGTGTATTATTCGTGCACTTCAATATTACGAATGGTATTATGGCATCAATTAAATTTACAAATAAATAGCCTTTAATGCAAATGACTATTGTGCCTGCAACGCTTTTTTGTCTTCGTTTTAGGAACAAAGATCTGAAATGCTCCGCTGTATTATAGAAAACAGACTGAGCGCGGATTTTGCTCGTTTTAAAGAACTTGACTTGAATCAGCTTGCAAAAGAGACAGAAGGATTTCTTGCAACAGATTTTACATTGCTTGTTGAGCGAGCCATAGAATCTAGTGTTGCAACTAGAAAGGTCTATAGGAAGACAGGTAAAATGTTTCATTTTGTTGATTGGAATGCAAAAGCAGAACTTATCCTCATGTTTTATCTTCCATGAAGGGGTTAACTTTAAAGAAAAAAGCAGGAAATGATCACTTCTGGGCAGACTTGGGCTAGTTTAATCTTTAGTAAATAAACCAGAGTGAGACATTTCCAGAAACTGATTTTCTTCTCAAAACCACTAAACAGGGATTTGTAATGAATTGCTGATTTTAGACCAAACTAAGCAAGCCCTATTTCAATTTACAAATTTACCAATAGCTGAGCACTACTGAAATGCTTACATATTGACTAAAAAGCCCTGAATTGTGCCCAGCTGCAGCGTGTGTATGTTTGATTATGCTCTCCCACTGCACTTCAAAACAGTCCTTCAGACTACTACAGAGCTACTGTGTGGGGTTATCAGGAGGACGTTGTACGTTTCACAAGATCATGTGGCTTGTCGGTCTGTAGATGTAGCAACGGTGTTCACACTCAGCCTAAATGACACCTAACAAATTGGAATGCACCAAAATTATATGGTTTGCAACTTGCCAAAATCTCTTAAATCTATTTTTTTTTTTTTTTTTAAGAGCTGGATTTGTCAATGTCCAACTTCAGGGATGCTCTTAAAGGATTTACTCCTTTGTCACTCAGAAAAGCTCACCTTCATAAGCCAAAGAGTCAAGGATGGAGTATGGTTGGAGGCTTGCATGATGTCCGGCAGATTCTTAAAGACACCATTGAGTTACCCGCCAAGGTTTGTTTATTGTTTATAAATACATACACCACTTAATTGGTTATATAGGTATTCAAACACAAGGCTTCTAACGGTTAGTAAACTACATCTCTCGTGAAACTTTGCCAGTCATTTGCTGGGGTTTTTGTATGGTTCGGATCTATAGGAAACATAAATTAACGTTGTTACAGAGAACAGATACCTGGCATAAGGATGAAGTGCTTAACTAAAAATTCACTACCTAATATATGGTTGAAAGTGAAATTTCTAGATTTTGACATTATCTGTACCTTTATTCTAGTTCTTCCATATTGGATATTATATTATTTAGCAAGAGGTGTTTTTATTATTGGTACAGTATATGCATATTTTGTAGCATTTACAGGAACACTATAGGGTCAGGAACAAAAACATGTATTCCTGACCCTATAGTGTTAAAACACCATCTAGTCCATCTGGCAACACCTTGCCCCCCTCTATATAGTGTAATCTTACTTTTATTCCAGTCTGCCTCCTTGTCTGACCTCATCAGCAGTGTTATTCAAAGCCATTGGGGAAGCATTGGATTGGCTGAGAATATCAAGAAAGCAGATCAGGGGCAGAGCCAACACAAGCCAAACACAGCCTTGGCCAAACAGCATATCACCATAGAGATGCATCTCTATGAGGAAAGTTAATTGTCTCCATGCAGAGACACACGATGAGTGGCCACTGGAGGTATCCCTAGGCTGTAATCTAAGCACTGCTTTTTCTCTGAAAAAAAAACAGTGTTTACTGCAAAAAGCCTGAAGGTAATGATTCTACTCACCAGAACGAATACAATAAGCTGTACTTGTTCTGGTGACTATAGTGTCCCTATAAGTATATTTTGCTACACTGTTTCTCTTATCCCTATCACTAACTAACCAGAGTACTTGGGTCTTTCTTATTCGTAATTGTGATCTTGAATGAACTTTATTTGAACATGATTTGTTTTACCCTATTTTTCTGATATTGATTTGCATCATATATCAGTTCCTGGTTTTTTTTTTGTTTTGGTTTTTTTATAGCAATTTTACTAATTTCTGTTACTTCTATGGGAAACGTCATTTGCCAACAGCTAATCAAGCATTTGTCTACCCTGTTTTACATTTTTTTTTTTTAATCTATTAGTTATTTGAGAGGTGTGATAACCTGGAGTATGATCAGGTAGGCGTAGTCCGTGTAGCATGATAAGACATGGTATATTTTTTAGACGTAGTAGACATAACACAACATAGAATTGATTTCTCATTAAATGTACAGTATAAATTACCACAAATAAAATATCCTTAGTCCTTGTTAACATTTCTTTTGTTTATCTATGTATGTTTAGTACCCAGAGCTGTTTGCAAATCTCCCAATACGCCATAAATCTGGCGTTTTGCTCTATGGGGCTCCAGGCACAGGGAAGACTTTGTTGGCCAGTGTGATAGCTCATGAAAGTGGAATGAATTTCATCAGCGTTAAGGTGAGACTTGGAAAGCTTCTATCAAATATTTGCATTGAGGTTTGAATAGTGCTTTTCTGAGGTTTATAGTATTTAGGTTTCTACAAGATTTATTCTCGATTTCTATCCCTTTTTGCTTTTATGAACCATATACACCATATCGGATTGTTCCTTTTATCTGTTGTTATTTATTTTGAATAAGTAGATGGGGTTATTAAAATGTACATTGGAAATAATTCAACGTCAAATTTTAGGTAAAATTAGCAAAACTGGAAAAGTTCTCCAACTCAGCTGTTTTCAGTTTGAGTATCCCTGTTAAATCCCAGCACCATTTGTTGTTTTTTTTTTTTTCTGAATTCTCTGGGCTAATAATTATTTTTATGCTGGCTTTTTCTAGGGGCCTGAACTTCTCAGCAAATACATTGGAGCAAGCGAGCAGGCTGTGCGTGACGTTTTTACAAGGTTAATGCTTTTCTCCACTAAGTGTTCTACGAATACGTTTGCATAATGCTATTTGTTATTTTGACTTTTTAATAGTGACATTGTTAATAATACCCAGGTCCCTGTTTTATATCATAAGTGACCAGCAATACTATTCCAACCAGATGAACATTTAAAAACTGAAAAATTCTGCAATGTTCTAAAAACACTACTTGACTATTCCAAGTAAACCTATTTATGGGGTTAGGACATTGTGTGTGATACTTGTGGAGCGTGTGTGTATGAAAAGAGCGCATCTATCTTGGCTCCCGGTCAATCATTGTTTTAGGTTCTGCCTTTTTCACCTGTCAGTCATCATAGAGAGAGGAGGAGAAGACATTGTGTTCTTCTCCAATGTGTACATATGTACATCATATACATTTAAAAATGGAGCATCACTTTAAAAAAAAAAAAAGTAACACAAGTTGTAGATGATTTGTAATATATTTATTCAGTAGCGTAATTTCCAGAGAAGTGATGGTGGCCCCTGTAAGCATTACATCATGTGGATTAATGTTTTGATTCCTGACTTTATGGTCCTGTGATTTTTAGAGCCCAAGCAGCAAAACCCTGCATTCTTTTCTTTGATGAGTTTGACTCTATTGCCCCTCGTCGAGGTCATGATAATACGGGAGTGACGGATAGAGTGGTCAACCAGATGCTGACACAGCTGGATGGGGTGGAAGGGTTACAAGGTAAATACCGAATCAATGTTGCTGTAATAGGTAGATGGTGCTATAGTGGGGGGTGCACTGGCTAGGTTAGCAGTGGAAATGCATTTCTAATAAGCAGATTTGGTCAAAAACTGGGTCCTGGGTGTTTTTTGTATAATAGCCTTTTGTGACCACACTTATTTATCTTTGTATTTCCTTGTTTTTGCTCAATCGTTTCACCCTTCGACCCAACCCACCATTATTTCCCACGTTAATTTCTGATCCATCAACTACCCCTAATTCTCCAACTGGTTAGTATTTACTCAAAGAAGCATAGATGGAGTACATTATGATTGGAGTAAGAACTCATAAGAATATTTTATTTTCTTTCACTACCTCTGAATTCTCATGCACGCCTTCTCTCTCTAATCATTATTCTCTTTAATTATTCTGTTAACACTGCTCATCAGTGTTTGTTAAAAAATATATTTTAAAAGTTTTCGTATATCTCATAGGGAGGCTTTTGCCACTGTTAAAACACTTCTACTTTGTGCTCCCTAAAATGGCTTATTGATGAAGATGGTTGGGATATGACATAATATCCTTCACTGAGTCCAGAAATGCACTGTGAATGATTGAGAATGACTGAACCAGTGAAAGCACCCATCTAGCTCCCTCACAGAGTGGAAATAAAAGAAATTAGAGGTCACTTGCAACCCGAAAAGGTTGTAGTCTACTGCATCAGCAAATGTCCTGGGGGACAATCTTCTGTGCTGCATTTCTTGTTGTCATGGTGTCTGTGTGTGGAAGAATTAAGGGTTTGAGGTGAATTTAACTTTATGTTTTAGGAAGTGAGCTGATCTTAAGCTGTGCCTTCAATAATCTTTGTTTGATATTTGTAGGAGTTTACGTTTTGGCTGCCAGCAGTCGTCCAGATTTGATCGACCCCGCCTTGCTCAGACCTGGACGTTTGGATGAGTGCCTGTACTGTCCTCCTCCTGATCAGGTAATAAGATATTGAGGGAGCTTTCCTTTGGTAGGGTAAACACTAGTCATTCTAAGGTATCCATGCTAGACTGGGTTTTGGGTGCGGCAACTGGGAATTTCAATTATTTATTTTTTGTTTGTTAAAATAAGTTTTAATTTTAAAGCTAATGTTGTGCAACATTTGGCATGATGTGACTGTCATTTTAATAGTTGTCACCAAATCCAAACGACTACATAATACATTTCAAAAGAGGATTTTTTTAAATTTTACATTACACATTGTCACTCGTTTTATTCCACGTTAACAGCTCTACTAGGGTTACAGAAACAGTAATATATTTAGGTTCCACTTATTGTATTTCAGATGTGATAGAAATCCGACAACTATTTAAATGTCTTATCGCCCCTTTAGGAATACTGAAAGTTTAAATTTGTTCTCCTCTTTCATAGATTTCCCGGATTGAAATCCTGAAAGGTCTCAGTCATTCCATGTTGCTAGATGATGATGTGAACTTTCGGCAAATAGCTGCTTTGACAGAGAATTTCACTGGCGCAGATCTGAAAGCGTTGCTATATAATGCTCAGCTGGAAGCAATCCATTCTAGTCTATCACCAAGCCTGCCACAGGTATAAACAATGATCTTAATTTGCCATTCACATTGACGTGGCAAGCTGGGTTAGATTTAGTATGTTTTTCTGGATGGATTTTGAAAAACATTTATATTTAATAAGAGATTCTGTTCTGTGTAATGAGCATTCTATCTGTGCAGTGTAGCAATTGCTGCACATGTAATGTAAAACCCCAGTGCTTGACTGAGGCAGAGCTGCAGTGAGCATGCTCTTTCCACCTAATTAGAGGTAAGTAACGGCTTTATTTTATGGGAACAGTGCTTCGCGAAATAAGATTAGGCAACACTCTGGCTTTAGAAATTCATTTATTTATTTTTAACACTAGAGTGTTCATTAAACTAAAAAAAAAAGTATTTTCTCTCTACAGGTCTGCTTTTTGTCAGCATATACATTGTCACATTCTAAATTATATCCAAGTTGCTTCTGCAAATATTGATGTTGCTGGTTGCATAGTGTATGATTTATGAAGGATTATGGGAAATGTTGTTAAATTACAGGTGAGGAAACAATGTTAGTCACCCCTGTTAGAAATGTGCAATGAATGCAGATTAATTTCAGTAGTTTGTAATAGACTCCATAATAGGGACACACAACGCCTCAAAACAACTATAGTTTACAGGGACACTATAGGCACCCAGATGACTTCAGCTCATTGAAGTGGTATGGGTGCATTTTCCTAGGTCCCTTAACACTGCAATAGTAATTATTGCAGTTATTGAGAAATTGCAATAATTACTATCGAGTGTTAACTCCATCTCTAGTGGCTGTCTTAAAGAGGACTTCTGGGTCGCTAAGTGACTTTTTGTCGCCTAGCTAATGACGGACGACCTTATGCTATGCATAGGAAAGCATTGTATAACCCCATAGGAAACCATGTGCATTGGGTCTCCTTCGCCAGCTGATGTCGGTGAGGAAGAAGCGGAGTCTGAGCCAGTTCCAGTGCCGAGGGACATCGGTGCTTAACTAAGGTAAGTGACAGAATGGTTTTTTAACAATAGGGAGCTATAATGCCAGGAAAACAACTTTGTTTTCCTGGCACTATAGCTTCCCTTTAATTTAGACCCTGAGGTCTCACTGCTCAATTCACTGCCATTTAGGACCTGGGACACATTAAAAATTTTCTGCTTTTGTTAGAAATCCCCCTAACGTTTTTTATCCTCACCCTTGAAGTCTGGAAAGTTGGTAGCTATGGAGTGCAGATTGAGCACTAGCTATTTATCTCTGTCTTTGCAGAGATGAAAAATGTGACATTTAGTAACCAACACACAGTGCATGAAAAACTTGTTAAAGCCTGCTTTCTTGCATTTACAGAAGAGATATATTGATCATATCCTAACTGTGTGCCTTCATGGGTGGGAAAGTTAGAAAGTGGAGTTAAGGGGAAGAATGATGGAAATATTTATTTTTCAAAACATATACAACATTGAGTATGCTGCAGAAGACAGCTAATTATTTAGACCATCTAGTTTTGTTTCAACTTTGTAGTTGTTTTGGGTTTTTTTTCACTAAACTGGCAATAATCAGGAACTGAACAGGGAATTTCACATTTAGTCAAATAGAGCTAAACATGAAATAAATGTCCAATTCCTATCCTGTTCATTTCCGAGTACTGTCTGTTTAATTAACTGTGTATTTGTGAGTATTTGTTATTTTGTGGAACATATTGAATAAGACAACAAATGTTTGAACCAACAGTATAATAAACAATGCCTAGAACATTATCTTCTAGACACCAAAATAAAGATTCACGTCTTACACATTTGTATATGAGTCATCTATTCCCTTACAGAACATCACATATTGTGTCTTGTGATCACTGCAGGATAATGGTTCTGGATCAGACAGTGATGTTAGCTTGTCTTCAATGATCTTTGTGAACCCCAGCAGTGGATCTGATGAATCGGCAGGAGAGTCAGACAGTGCTCTAGAGCAGTCTCTTGCCTCCTTGGATATCGTGAAGCTGCCACCTGAAGATTCAAAGTCCAGCATCTGGCGCCTTTATTTTGGAAGTTCGTATGAATCGGACCTTGGAAATAGCAGCACAGATCAGGTAACTTTTCATATTTCTCATGCTAGTTCTCTCGTTGTCTTTCCAGTCCATGAAAAACGTTTCTTACTGTGGATCATACTTGTGTATCTTCAAAAAAAACATTCATGCCATTTACTTATAAATGTTGCTTCACGTAAACAAATTGTATGATAAAACAACAAATGTTTGTTGTTCGTGTTTTTATTTTGTCAAGCTAGATAAACGTGCAGTGTTTGACAGAGATGACCAAGTTCCATCACAGCACTCCAACTAAGGTCCTACTCTAACTTAATTAATATGTAGCCATATGCAGAACCAGTACAAAGATTTCCACATTTTCTTCAATGCTGACCAAAAGGATTGCCTACACACAAACTTATTACTAATTCCGTCTTGAAATGAAAAGTCATACCTCAAAATACTACTTGGGTACCATTGATTTTAATATTCCGATCTTAATCTGGTTCCCTTGCACCCGGTACAAGGTAGCGTAACAGTTTTGATGGATCTGCTCCTGCTGAGTTGTATAGGAAAATATCAATATAAAGTCCGTTAATGCTGAGAGGAAGTGGCCGTGAAAATGACAGATTTACCCAAATTGTAATCATAGATGCATTTTATTTGACAAAGGTTTAGGCCAAAACCATTTGGTTCAGTAAATTATCATGTTTTGTAATGTTTTCTTCTGTTTATTAATATTTGCTTCATTTATTGGAAGTATTTTGTAACATAAAATAAATGTGAAAAATTTATGAAATGTTCAAATACAACGCTTATGAGTTTTTGTAATGCATGTACTGATATTTATTGGAATCCAGATCACAAAATGCCAGCAGAATTTCAAACTTTTTGAATTTTTTTTTTTAATGGTCTTAATTCCATTATGCGGTAAATACAGTAGCCTGGCTTAAACCAGGCACCTGTCTTGCAGAATGCATTACCCTGAACTACTCACTGATCTGTCTTTTCCAGACTGCTTTTTTGCATCCCTGTACATGTATGGATGGGAATGCAGAGGCATAATTCATAGTGCCTATGCATGTTTAAAAAAACTGTCTTGGGTCGTAGCTACTTTATTTATATTAATGCACCTCTCTACCCAGGAAGATTTTGCACAACGTAATCTTGGGCCATTGTAACTGTTTAATGCGGGGGCTGGAGGAGCTTTAAGCAATTGGCCCTGCCTTTACCCTACAGTTACTATTTGACATCCAGGATGCTTTTCCCTTGTTCTTACCATTCATACATTTCCTCTTTCATGTAATCTGCAATCTTAAAGCAGCTTTGTCACTTTTAGGCATCTTTAAAAATAGTTAGAGATCTCTGAAGATGACATCTTCTTTTGGTGTGGGGGAGCAAATTAAAGTTTACATACTTACCTAAACTCTCCTTTGCATTCCCTGCCATCTTTTAGCTCCTGGCACTGCATCCACCATAATGGTTGTACTCTATCTCATGTGTAAGAATACCACGTTACCATGTCTGTGGGCGAGACCTCGGGGTCAGCTGTAAATCCATTCGATCAATGTGTAAGAAGATGTCTCGCTATGTCAATTTCAGGCTTTATAATTATTATTATTATTATTGGTATTTATATAGCGCAAACTTATTCTGCAGCACTTTACAATAAAAGGTGAATTTACCAAATGAGACAATAACAAAATGTAACAGGAACAATAGGCAGTTGAGGACCCTGCTCAAATAAGCTTACAGTCTAGAGGAGGTGGGGTATAAAAAGACAATAGGAAGGGTATTGAGAGAGACCGCAAACAGACATGGTGGGAAAGTAGCAGAACTGGAGTGGGGTGTGGCCTTATAATAGAGAGTGAGAGAGAGAAGTTACTCTTGGAGGCCATAATCATTCCTGTAAAGATGGGTTTTGAGGGACTTCTTAAAGGATTGAAGACTAGGGGAGAGTCTGGCAGGGGTAGACAGGCTATTCCAAAGGAAAGGTGCCGCCAATGAGAAGTCTTGCAGGTGTGAATTTGCAGTAAGGGTGCAAGCAGCAGACAGGAGAAGGTCACCAGTAGAGCGAAGAGAGTTGGTTAGTATTTTAAATTGACACCTGTAGGGTACAGGAAGCCGGGGTGAGGTGTGAGAGGAGCGACAGGAGAGAAAGCTCAGCCTGGAAGCAGCATTCATCACATATTTTAGGGGGGCAGTACGGCTTCTGGCAAGACCAATTAGGAGAGAATTACAGTAATCCATACGAGAGATGACTAGAGCATGAACAAGCTCTTTAGCAGCATCTTGCGTAAGAAAGGGGCGGACGTGGGCAATGTTTTTAAGGTGGAATCGAAAGGTTTTAGCAACAGACTGGACATGAGGCACAAAGGTGAGGCCAGGATCAAAAGTGACACCAAGACAGCGAACTTGAAAGGATGGGGTGAGGCAGGTACTGTCAACCTGCAGGGAGAGTGGAGGAGGAGGATCAATGTTATGAGGAGGAAAAATAAGAAACTCCTTTTTAGAGAAATTTAGAGTTTCAGAAAGCAGGAGGACATCCAGTCAGAGATAGGACATCCAATAAGACAACGTGGTCTTTACTTTGTCTTATGATTTCATGTGATTTTGTTTGAATTTCAATGAAATTCCATTGCAGTCTCCATGAGTATGTCTTTCCTAAATATTGTATCTTTGTTAAAGTGGCTCTGTTATCTTTACTTACATTTTGAATGTTTTCAGAGTGATTCAGATTTATTTTATTTTGTATGAACACTGAATGCCTGCTTCTTTCTCCTGCCAGGTTTTTCACCCCTTCTGCAGCACAGGGTGGTGCAGGCATGAGGGAGGGTATAGCTATAGTCCTAGGGAAACAACTTTGTTTTCCTAACAGTCTTGTTTCCCTTTAAAGTATGTTTAGCTGGTGATTACATGCATTGTGCAATGTCATTTCTGGGAGGCACTGAACTTTCCTATTAATGTTTCATAATTAAACTGTCCAGGCACATTTTTTTATGGTACAGAATTTTAACCCTCATCCCTAGACGCTGGAGGCATGGTGGAGTACTCCTTCAGCCAGGTGTCTAATACCTTAATTCTAAACATAGACAGAGGAGAGTCCATGGACTGGACAGCTGCTCTCAACTTAATATTGCTAGACTGAGAATGATGAGAGTTACAGTTCATGTGGTACAGTGGACGTGTACTCCCTAACCAACGTAACTTGTCTCCAAAATTAGGTTTGGATACAGAAAGTTCGGTACACTATTATCACCTAATTGGCTTTGGTATAGAGCCAGATCTTTACTTTAGGGGTATTTTAATTACTTCTGTATTCTTTTGAAAAATGTTCAGAATTTTTAAATTCTATGCAATATGTAGGTTGCATGTATTAAAGAGAAAATATAGTGCTAGGAAAACAAAGGTGTTTTTCATTTCCTTGCACTGTAGTACCCTCCCCTCTCGAGCTCTCCCAGTGTCACCTACCTGATTTCAACGCCAATGTCCCTCAGCACTGGGTCGTGCTCCTCACTCGCCAACATCAGCCGGGGGGGGAACCTCATGCGCGACGAGTATCTTGCTTGCATTAGGACTATCCCCATAGGAAAGCATTATATCATGCTTTCCTATAGGGTTTTGGGTGACGCTAGATGTCCTCAAGCATAGCGTGAAGATGTCCAGCATCAGTTAAGCGACCAAAAGTCAACTAACGACACGGAAGTCCCTCTAGTGGCTATCCGGTAGACAGCCACTAGAGGTGGAGTTAACCCTAGCAGGTAATTATTGCAGTTTATTAAAACCTGCAGTATCTACCTTTGCAGGGTTAAGGGACCTGGGACACTTCACTCAGACCACTTCAATGAGCTGAAGTGGTCTGGGTGCCTGCAGTGTCTCTTTAAGTTAATGTGTATATATATATATATTTTTTTTTTTTTAGGGGTTTAATAAGCCTGAGATTTAAATCCACAGTTTAAGATGAATCTGTAATTTTAATAATTGAAAGCGTTTTCAATGTTTGGATAAACAAAGTGTGATTTTTTTTTTTTAAAGTTTCTTATGTTGTGATCATGAGTAAATAATTACGGTTGAGTGTTTTGTTCCTGTTTAGTGCCTTATTTTACTTTGCCAAGATACGCAGAGCATGTCCTCATGTGCACTTGCATCTATCCCACGTGTCTACTGTGGTAAAACAGAATTTGAAAATGTCTTTTCAAATCTTATTTTGCCAAGAAGCTGTTATTTAATTTTTATTTTTTTTAATTAAATGACATGGCTTTATAAATTCACATATAACGCTGTTTAAATAAAAAAATGTAAACTTGCTTTAATATTGGCAGTTAAAATATTTTTAAACTAGAGTCCTTAAATTATGCCATGCATATGGAATAAAATACTTTAATAATATGGTTATTTATTGATACATTTAATGTTCCAGTTGTTTATTGTACAGCATTGCTATTTTTCTGTGCCCCATGTTTTTTTGACATTTCAAATTTAAACATATCAATAAACATGACTTCTCAAAGCTTTATTTTATATAAACTTTCAATCATAAATTTGTAAAGACAAACTTTATAATGTTAATCCTACACTGCATTCATTTCAATCTAAGGGGAAAAAAACAAAACCCCATTTAAAATTGTAGCAGCCAGTATAACACTTATCTTCCTTCAATTGTCTTTACAGACTTCTCAGAGCTTATCAGGAAGCAATTCTATTACACTTGATTTTACCTGCTTGTCTGTAGGAGAATTAGTGCCATCACAACCTCTAATGCCCATAACCTCCTCACAAGAAGATCCACAGGAGCTTAATCAGGAACATTTTCAGAAACTAAATGATGAGATCAGTGTTACCAAGGCCAACTTCACGAACGTGGTATAAACCATCTTCCAAATTTCTCTCTTCTTTTATCTCCCTGCTTATATCTTTGGAATCCCTCCTCATTTTTTTCCATTATTTACACGCATTAGACCTTTCTCGATTTCATTTAAAATCCCCGATGTCTGTTGCTTTCTGTGCAACATCATCTAGGTCATAGATCAGAACATCAAGTCCTACGCTAATTGCCAGGTCTAAATGTTACTTGCCACTACAATCCTGGAGGGTCCAAGGTACTATCGGCATTGGTGAATTTGTACCTGCCAGGACTGAATTTTCACTCCCCAATAGCTAGTGGGCGAGTGGAAATTTTGAGCACTTGATAGTTAACAAGAAATGTTTATAATGAATATCTGTTCTAATGTCCAAGACCCTGCCTTGGTTAAATGCTCAAAACCTTTTGTTTGCAGGCTATTCTTCATTACTGATGACCAGTGTGTACAGAGAAGCAAGATCAGACTGATAGTTCATTATGTAGCACGTGGCAAAATCCAGAGGTTAATGAGTTAATGCCAATAGCATATTACTAAGCACTTGTTCCTTGACTTAAAAATAGTTTTAATCTTGTTTCTGAATAAACTGTACATTTGGCATTGTCTGTCACAATTTTGCTGTACAACACGTATGTAAAGGTGCCTGTGCATTAGCATAGACTGGAATCGTCAAATATTATCACTGTGAGAATTCAAACTCGGATAATTAAAACACACCTGATTCAGCAAAGCCTTAGAGAAAAGAGAGTATAATTATTTTTCCGCTCGTCGCAAGAGTATAAATGATAGCTAACCACTATTGGGCTTGCTTTGTAAATAAACATAAATACATGATTTTATTTAATTCCATCTGATTTTTTTTTTAAAACTTTTTGTTATCTACATTTCTTCTTCCCACAGTCTTGTGTTGAATACTATGCGAAGATGCTTCTTAAGCACGTTCCAATTATGTTGTAATATTAGTAATTCTAACTACTTATTTTTTTAGGAAAATGCATCTCGTTGTCAGCCCGAAACAAAGAAAAAACTGTGTGTCTGCCAGCATCACCTTATGACTGCCCTTAGTAGCACAAGGCCATCTATTAGTCAAGAAGAGTGGAGAGTTTTCAATGATCTGTAAGCACATGATTCATATTACAAAGTATTTGTGTGGATTTTTATAAAATTGTTTTCTTTGCATTGCTCACGTTTAAGTTGATCATGATCCTACTTTTTCTATTATAATGAATGAAATCATGGCTTAAAGGACAGCTGAAGTGGTCTGGGTGCCAGGTCCAGCTAGGTTTAACCCTTTTTGCTGTAAACATAGCAGTTTCAGAAAAACTACTATGTTTACAAATGTGTTAATCCAGCCTCTAGCAGCTGTCTCATTGACAGCCGCTAGAGGCGAGAAGACGCCAGCATCCATAGGAAAGCATTGAGAATGCTTTCCTATGGACTGGCTGAATGCGCGTGCGGCTCTTGCCGCGCATGCGCATTCAGCCGGTGACGGAAGAAGAGTTAGGAGAGTCCCCAGCGCCGAGGGATCCTGGCGCTGGAAAAAAGGTAAGGGATTAACCCCTTCCTCCCCCCCTCAGCGCCACGGGAGTTGGACCATGAGAGTGGGGGCACCCACAGGGCACTATAGTGGCAGGAAAACGAATATGTTTTCCTGGCACTATAGTGGTCCTTTAAAGTAATTTTAAAAAAAAGTTCCAGCTGTCTAAAAAAAAAATAGCAAAGTTTTTTATTTAAATTCACAAAAAGGTGTAATTTTGGGTGACGTGCTCACATAAAGTTCTTTCTGAACACAGAATCCAGCTTCTGGTGTGGGACATAGCAATACAGTCACATAAATGCTTAGAGGAATTTACTAGATAAGGATTCCTGAAAAGCGAACGTGCATGTTTAAATATGACATAGTGATGTTAAAACGCATATTCGATAACATTTTCTGTTATCAAGCTGGTCTGGGCCTACTGTGGCTCCCACGCCGATCGGACCAAGTTTTTCCCTGCTCCAACAACTCCCATCCTGCTGTTCCAGCCACATGCGGTCAGAGACTCCCACGCCGATTGGTCCAAGTTCTCCCTGCTCCAACAACTCCCATCACGCTGTTCCAGCCACATGCGGTCAAAGACTCCCAAGCCGATTGGACCAAGTTCTCCCTGCTCCAATAACTCCCATCACGCTGTTCCAGCCACATGCGGTCAAAGACTCCCACGCCGATTGGACCAAGTTCTCCCTGCTCCAACAACTCCCATCACGCTTTTCCAGCCACACGCAGTCAGAGACTACTCACCTCCTCTCCAGAACTGCCCGTTCGTTCCCGCCGGCTCTATGAGACCCCTTACCGGCTTCCCGGGCCTTTTCCTGGACCAAACCTCCGTGTCCACCAAGTCTGGGTACTTTCCAGCCGCATAGCTGACCTCTCACCTCACCGCAAGCTTCCGGGTCAAGTCGTTTGTTTCCTGTAACAGTCAAATCCACGAACCGTGAGTCTGCCTGTACGGGCCAAATCCAATTGTTCACATGTTTACGTTCTTACATACCGTCCATTCTGGACTTTTTCCCGTTCAGGACTTGTCAATTCACCTACTCCTGCCTGCTGTTCCATTCCTATTCGCTAGTTTCTTTTCGTCAAATTTCTACCGAACTAGTCTCCAGTCCATCTCGGTTACATGCTTCCATCTAGCGGCCACCACAATCATAGTACCAATTCGTTAGTTTTACACTGTTCCCTGATACATGAATGTCCAGGTTCTTTTTTGAAAGTCTTTAGTCTGCTACTAGTTATCCTTACATGCCCCCTGTAGTTCAGTTATGTTTGCTATGTTTCTTGTTATTATTTACGATTGTGCACGGATATTGTCAGTTTCCCATTACTAATTCAGCTCTGGTAAGCGTTTAATATTCACTACATATATTTCATTACCATCATATATCGCAAATGTCTTATTTTATCACTCATGGACTTGGTACTGTTCTGAGGCAGTCATCACGTTCACATTTGTTACCATGTGTTATGGCCAATCTGTGTACTTGCTCCCATGATAGGTATATTACTTATTTGGCGGACGACCACCTATTCGCTAAACTCTTTTGTAACACGGCACACTCCTACGTTCAGTATATGTATCGTCATGTTCCCTGGGACAAACCCTAGTGTACCAGGCTTTACCATACCATCATATGTTCACCCTGACTCTACGTCAAAATAATCACGTATTATGCAAAAGGTTATTTACTCATCGCTGCTATATTCTACTCAAGCAAGTTCTTCATCCTAACCGACCCTTGCTATTCAGGCATAGTATCACCAAACCTACAGCAACTCCACTCTAACTGTTCTATGTTACATCAGCCAACGCTGGCACACAATTCCTCCGCCAGGCCGTACACAGGCCCATGCCTGGAGATCCTTAATTCCCCGCACACACCCCCTTCCCATGCTGGCACGACCATAATTAAATATTCTAAGTCCTACCGGGATTGCTCAAAACTGCCCTCATAGCTTGGTATTCCATATCCCCCTATGTGTATTTTAGCTACAGAAGTCACAGGACCAATTAGCGGTCACTCATGACTCTGCCTATCCCCCATTATTGTCGCAGTATTGGTTAAACACTCCCTATGGTCTCTGGTAGTGGCCTAGGATCCTCACCCTACTCACTTATAGGGATATTTTATTTATGTCCTATGAATCTTGTACCCACCATCGTAGGGTCAGGATTCTAACAACTATGTCCTCAGGTTACCTATTCATAGACCAGCCTCAAGAACAACCACCCTGATTATACAGGCGTATTTTGTTCACAGTAAGTCAAGCCCAATTCCAGTTCCAACTTGCCTCCCACCATCATTTCCCTTTAGGTTCTCCAATATCTCATTCCTCTGGCAAGAAAACCACATTCTACTCCAAGCAAGGTATGTTTACCCACCTTGCTACTACCCATCACCCGTCCCATTCACGGATCCGGTATGTCAACTGGCGGCCTGGTTCCCAGCTATGCCAGTAACTAGCCTCATCATTATCAATTCCGTGAGTCCAACACCCATCTTCATCCGCATATGGAGGTATACACCCCTCGGCCCAACACATAGCTAACGCCTCACATCAACCTATCCAGGTTACGAGTTAGGGCCTCACCCAGCATGGCCTCTTATATTGACTCTTTTTACAGTCCCTGAGAGGCCAACATTCTTGCCACACCTTTCAATGGCCCCTGCCCACAAGGCCAAATCACATGAAGTCAAACAGTTGATATCCACTCTACTTGCCTCCTTACATAACATCAACGATGGACTACAGAGACTGGAATCTCCACAGGCACTGACGCACATCCCAGCCATAGGACTCCCAAATCCCTCTCATGGCTATGTTATCCTTTCAAATCCCGCCCCTAGCACATCGGTTTACATTATTACTCCCTCATACTTTGTGTCCCTGACCATACACAAAGACATCTGGAAAGGTTAATTTTAGTCTCCTTACTGATTGCCTCCCACGATGTCTTAGAGTACAAGTCTTACTACTACGATGATCTGTACGTCGTTCTTTACACCAGAATCCCAGACTCAATCAGAAACTCACTATCCCAGAATTCATCTTAGCCCTCAGACTTTCGTGACGTAAGTGGCTCTACTTCTCGCCATAGAGAAGGTTTGCATCGACAACCTGGAGTTTTACCTCTAAGCACACCCTTTCCGTCACTCAGTCGACTTCTACATCAAGGTTTCCACACACCAGTTCCACACAGGTCTGGTCACACTCCTGTCCGGTATTCACGAGTGTCAGAACCTTCAGTCTGCATTAATAGGCCCCGCAACACAATCACGTTGATTAAGAAGGTATTTGACAACCATATTAATTACCCACCCCTAGCCTCAACTCATTGATTTCCTCTAAGGAATTCTCCCAGCACTATGCCAAAGCGGTTGACCGGAGCTTGGGTGGGCAAGACAGACATTTCCTATGCCTCCAAGCTTCTACCTATTCAGCCATCCCGAGGGCATGTTCATTGCATTTTATGGAGGGATTGTCATGACTTTCCCAAACTTGTAACTTGACTAACACTCAATATTAGCGAATGTCCTGCAGTCACCCATTATCTTAGATAACTTCCTCGCGAAAGAATGCCCTCACTCCGCTCTGGTTAGTATTCACAAGACGATGGCACTCTTCCTCACTATGGGTTCCACTTTCACAAACTGAGCTTCTTAGGCATTCATCTTGACACTAATACGCTACAGAACATGTCCACCTACAGAGAAGGTACAGCGCATCGGAGTCCTGGGAACCTTTCCTTCTGAAGAAAACGCGGGGGGTGAAAGGGGAAGAATGGATCTACAGTCCTACTGGGCACATTGAAGTTTGCCATGAGAATTATTCTGCACATTTATTTCCCGACCGCTGAGTCTTCTTCCCACCGACAGTTGCATTCTGGCACTAGTTGTAAGCAGACCTACACATATGGCTCAGGTTCATACCACACTGGAATAGGAGGCCAGGTTATTCCCGCCATTTCTCATAATTTCCCAGTTACATGGACCAATGTGTCCGCACACACTGATTTCACAGCCAATTTTGGTTCCTGAGATGCCTGGCCAGTTGAGACTCTTGGGGAAAAAAAACCTTTCCATTCCTCGTCAACATTTCTTTAGAATCTATCCTATAGTGACCGGCTACAAGGCCTGGGGAGGTATGAGTGGATAGAGGAACCTGTCAAGTGCTTCTCTGACAATAAAGCAGCTGGCTATTCCCACATTCCATAGCTTAATCCTGCACTACCTTACTTCATGGCATTTGGCAGATTTCTGGATTGAGCTGCCCTCTCTGATTATACATCACGAGCATACAATAGAGATTTCACCTTTACAACAAGTTTACCACCAATTACCATAATACCGATATTCGTTCACTAGTCGCCATTGCAACACTCCTTTCCTTTTTGCCCACACAATTTTAAAAAATCTCTCTTAACACTACGAAACTTACCTGGCTGGATTACACCACCATATCTTAAGTGCCTATCCTAGTACCAAACAGTTCACATCCTCTTACAATATGTAATACTTAGGGACATAAGGACTATCCTACGGACAATAAGGTGCCGGTCAAAATGTCAGACCTTTACAGGTTATCACTCACTGGACCAAATCTCAATATGCCCCTATTTAAATGCAGGGCAAACCACTCACTACAGCTAAATTTATAATGTACCTCAGAACCCTCTTAAAGGGACACTATAGTCACCTGAACAACTTTAGCTTAATGAAGCAGTTTTGGTGTATAGAACATGCCCCTGCAGCCTCACTGCTCAATCCTCTGCCATTTAGGAGTTAAATCCCTTTGTTTATGAACCCTAGTCACACCTCCCTGCATGTGACTTGCACAGCCTTCCATAAACACTTCCTGTAAAGAGAGCCCTATTTAGGCTTTCTTTATTGCAAGTTCTGTTTAATTAAGATATTCTTATCCCCTGCTATGTTAATAGCTTGCTAGACCCTGCAAGAGCCTCCTGTATGTGATTAAAGTTCAATTTAGAGATTGAGATACAATTATTTAAGGTAAATTACATCTGTTTGAAAGTGAAACCAGTTTTTTTTTCATGCAGGCTCTGTCAATCATAGCCAGGGGAGGTGTGGCTAGGGCTGCATAAACAGAAACAAAGTGATTTAACTCCTAAATGACAGTGAATTGAGCAGTGAAATTGCAGGGGAATGATCTATACACTAAAACTGCTTTATTTAGCTAAAGTAATTTAGGTGACTATAGTGTTCCTTTAACTAGGCTGGGACTCAACCCCATTGCCTTTTCGGGACATTCCTACAGAATCAGGGCAGCATCAGCTGCTTCCAGACAAATGTCTCTGCTCACACCATAAACATTAGGACGCTGGAAATCCACAGTATATTACTAGATACATACCACAACCAGAGTTAGAGTTGAGTAGGACAAGCCTTTACGAATCTTGCAACATAAAGATGTGTAATAAGGTATCTTATTCAACTTTTTGCCCTCTTTTATTACAGGTCTACCCGATACGTCGGTTTCGGGACACACCACAACCGACTTGCTTACATATCTAACTTATGTATAGAGCTTTTGTCCCCGACTAGAAATTGGAAGGCGTAGCCTGAAGTTGTGGGAGGGGTTACTCGGCTATTTAAACTTAGGCCCCCTACACCACAGGGCTGATGCTGCCTGGTTCATCCCTCCCACCTATCCCCTTATACATATTACTATTACAGGTGGGCCCTCTTTTATTACAGGCCTACCCGATATGTTGATTTCGGCACACCACAACCGACTTGCTTATATGTCTAACTTATCATGTATACGGCTTTTGTCCCGACTACAAATATATATTTTCTATTTTAAACATTTCTGTAAAAGGTCCAAATAGCTGCTAGGAAAAGGTTTTCATGACACAGAGAAAGTATATTTTGTGTAGGGACCGTATACTCTTTTGTTACAGATCACTATTGGATGGTGATTAAAGTGTACCTGTCATGGTATACAAAACGTTCTTGACAAATGGTAGAGAGTAACATTTTATTTGCATGTCGTGCTTTTAGAATTGCATTAAAGTTTATCGATTTTTCATCAAATGGAAAAAAGATCCTTCTCGTTAATTTCAATCTACTCTCTGCATTGAGGTCTGTAACAACATTTTGTATTGTTGTTATGCCTTAAATTAAGGCGAGCCAACTCCAATTCCTGAATTCCTATCAATCAGTTTTTTTGGTTTTTTATAGAGAACGGTCTACTTTATACATCTTATATTTTTCTTTTATATCCAGGTATGACAGTTTTAAAAATCCGAAGAGAATCCATGGTGAAGCCCCGAGGAGAAGCCAAAAAGTAACGCTGGCATAACTCTGTAATTGTGTTTATGCTGTGCTTACAGTTTGTAATTACTGACAATTGACCGAAAATGTAAAATGGATTAGATGTTTATTTTTTAATCCTGATCTTTATACAGAGATAAATATAAATAATCTGTGAAATGCATGAATTTGTTTGTTTACACAATAAGCAACATGGACCACAGTCTTGTAGAGAATCGTGGGAGTTGTAGGCCAACATCATTCAGGGAAGACACACACTGGGTACAAGTTTTATATGAAAATCATGTAAAATATTTGTTCCCTGTATCAAATATTGTAAGCTTTGTTTTAAGATCAGCCTAGTTCTTTACAGATTGCTTTGGTTTGAAGTATAATTTTCACAGTTCTAAGAATTTTAATTTTTATTTCTTTTATCAGTTTGTGCTAAGCCATAGAATTCATAGTTTTTAAAAAGGCATTTCTTCGGACTGTACGTCCCTAGGACATTATTTAATTCATTGCAAGATCATTATCATTAAAGTAGTTTTCATTTTGTCATTTGAATCAGTGATCCACTTTTCTGTAACCATAAAAAAAATCCGGTACCAGAAAAAAATAAATCTTGGGACCTGTACACCAGGTTAGACACTCCAATAGTGTCTAAAGGGCTTAAACCTGTAGAAAATACCAATTATACAAAAAAAACCTCACTGAATCTACAAATTGTGGATGAGTGTGACCTGGAAAAATATATATATATATATAGTATATCTTGTAGTAGACCAAGTCACAATCGACTTTAAATGCACCGTAATACCAAAAGTGGTCCCATATGTCTTGAGTGCAATGTAAGATCTTCACATTGCACTTGAGACATATGGGACTGTGACCGCTTTTGGTAGTACGGTGCATTTAAAGTCGATCGTGACTTCGTCTACTACAAGATATACTATATATATATATTTTTCCAGGTCACACTCATCCACAATTTGTGGATTGAGTGAGTTTTTTGTATAATATAACTTTTTTGTAAAAAATCAATGCTTGAAGGAAAATCACAAATTTCCATTAAACGGATTGGGTTGTGAGTGACTAAACAGGATCCCATTTTGTAGTTTTCTCAAATTCTCTGCACTGCACTTATAAAACAGCTAGCAACCCTATCAATTAAAAAAAATTAACTAAGGGTACACTTCATCTGGAAAACTTAAAAATATTGTAGGCAGGAGTCAGCTTTTCAAACAGCCCTATTGTACATTGCAAATATGATCCCCAACTATGTATGTCTTTGAATCTATACATTTTCTGGAGACTTTGCCAGTGCTGTGTATTACTTATATTCATAAATCCTTGTGTGAATCACAATCTTTATCACTGTTTTAGCAGCCATAGGTAAAGAATCATAGAAATTTTTTTTTTTACCCTAAACAACTAATAGAATATTATTGCATTGTACGCAAAATTTAAATTCATAAACAAAACTTTATTTTGCTGTGTCCATAAACCATTTCATTAATGTTCCTTTTTTTTAGTTTAGACTCCTGCCTAGATTTCCAGCCTAGCCTTCTGTAGAAAATTGTAGGAGAGGTACATTCCCTATTTTTATGATGGGAGTAATCAAACCCAGATTTAGAGCTAAAATTCTAAAAAGATGACCACTTTTTCTAGGTATGTCTAGTAATCAAAAATATATGTCCAAGAAAGTCTCAACTCTGCATCGATCATTTTGATTCCATATATGAACTGACAGCATAGTCCGTTATTCCAGATGTTCGATAATAAAATCCAATTTTCAATATAGTTACATAGCTGAAAGACACTTGCGTCCATCAAGTTCAGCCTTCTTCACATTTGTTTTTTGCTGTTGATCCAAAAGAAGGCCAACAAAACCCAGTTTGAAGCTCAATTTTGCAACAAGCTAGGAAAAAAATTCCTTCTTGACCCCAGAATGGCAGTTACTGGATCAAGCAGTTATTACCCTACATTGAAAGATTATATCCTTGAATATTCTGTTTTTGCAAGTATGCATCTAGTAGCTGTTTGAACATCTGTATGGACTCTGATAAAACCACTTCTTCAGGCAGAGAATTCCACATCCGGATTGTTCTAACAGTAAAAAAACCTTTCCTTTGCCTTAGACAAAATCTTCTTTCTTCCAGTCTAAACGCATGGCCTCGTGTCCTATATAAAGTCTGGTTTGTGAATAGATTTCCACACAATGGTTTGTATTGGCCCCGAATATATTTGTATAATATATGACAGGCGGTGTCATTTGGTTGAACCTAAGGTATTTGCCTAGTCACTGCAGAGCCTTACAGAATTTTGGGCAGGAACCCAAAGTTTCACAAAATCATGTTTGATTGAAAAGAGCTCCAGGTTCAAGCCAAAACTTTGAAGCTAATAAAAATGTTTCATTTTTGAATTTCCATAATTCTGTTAAAGGGTGAGTTGGAGTGGTCATGGTGTCTAGAGTCTGTATGTGAATTGCTTTGCAGTGAAACTCTGCACATATCAAGCTTTGCTGCTTAGGATGTAACTCCACCTCCAGCAGGTGCATCATCAGTCAGCCCAGAAGAAGAGTTCTGGACTGGCTAATACTATTTCTGTGCAAATTCTGAAGCTCAGACACACATTCATGGGCTGAGATCGGTCAGCTTGGCTCTCAGCCAAAGAATGAGTGGCAGGATCGACCCCTGGCTTCTGCAATTCTGTATTAACTGGATGCCATAAACTTGACCACTTTTGAGGCCCAGCAAAACCAGGTAAGAGGAAACCATCTTAACCATTACAGCAAGTTGGAGTAAATGCTAGCAAAAATCCATAAACAGGGAATTTACATCACATATTTATCACCACTTTAGGAGCTGTTGATATGCTATTTAAAGAAACACTCCAGCCACCATAACAACTTTATCAGATTGAAAAGCAAGAGATGAAGCTCTTATCCAATCACTTCTGTCCTCACTGCTGGTGCTTTCACATTCGACTTGATATATAGTTTCAGCTATCACAGTCCAGCCAAAATGGATTTAACTACACTTTTGCAGAACCATTGAAAACTTTGCAAGTTCAGCTAAAAGAACTTGTAAGTACTTTTCTAAACACCACTTCCACAAATCATTTATTTGGAGAACAAACACCTCCTGCACTTAATGATGTGTGCAAGGAACATTGGCAAACAATTCCTGGTTAATGAATGTAACCTGTTAATTACACTCGTATTAGCATCATCAACCCACTTGACTGTTCACAATAATGTGTATTTATTTTACACACATATATATGATTTTAAAACTATAATGGTACTCTGGCACAACAGGAAGAAAAACGGTTTCTTACATTTTAATTGTGATTGCTTTGATAAAGGTAAGTGCAGAGCAGCTGGTAGGTGTTATTAAGGCGAAATCCTTAACTGATCTGATGAATCTGGACAAAGTATGAAGACCACTTCTTACAGTATATGAAAACATGATCGGCTAGGACTCCATAGTGTGCATATCCCCATATAGGAAAAGGCTATTTACTATCAGACTCATAAAGCGCATCTGCCTCTATTTCACCAAGAGGATGACGTTGAATATAGAGACACACGAGTGCTAATAGCAGAAAGGACTCTGTCAGCCTACATGCACTCAAATATTAATTTAGACCACCCATAGGATTAGGCCTTGTTTGTCTTCTGTTAGGCGGTAGTAGTCTAAGTGACTGTTGAAGCATGAATAAAAGAACAGGTGTAAATTGCCTGACAAAATATAGTAGGAAACCCAGTATTTAGTGGAGTTATGTTAAATGTTAAAGGACAACTATAGGCACCCAGACCACTTCAGCTCAATGAAGTGGTCTGGGTACCAGGTCCCCCTAGTTTTAACCCTGCAGCTGAAAACATAGTTTCAGAGAAAGTGCTATGTTTACATTGGGGGTTAATCCAGCCTCCAGTGGCTGTCTTCCGGACAACCACTAGAGGCGCTTCCGCGATTCTCAGTGTGAAAATCACAGTGAGATGATGCTGGATGTCCATAGGAAATCATTGAGTAATTGAGCTGACGTCCGCGAGGAGAGGTCACCAGTGCCGAGGGAGCCCGACGCTGGATTAAGGTAAGTGGCTGAAGGGGTTTTAACCCCTTCAGTGCTACGGGAGGGGGGGGACCTATTAACCCTATAGTGCTGGGAAAACTAGTTTGTTTTCCTGGCACTATAGTGTTCCTTTAAGGGTTTCCATAATTTAAACTTGTAACTGCAATTTTGGGACGGTGCGCACTCACAACAGACTCTCAGTCTACTAGGGGTTACTTTGTACATTCCATCTTAAAGGACCACTATAGGCACCCAGACCACTTCAGCTTAATGAAGTGGTCTGGGTGTCAGGTCCATCTAGGATTAACCCCGCCTGCTGTAAACAGTTTACCTGTGGGTTAATCCAGCCTCCAGTGGCTGTCTCATTGACAGCCGCTAGAGGCGCTTCCGTGCTTTTCACAGTGAGAAGACGCCAGCGTCCATAGGAAAGCATTGAGAATGCTTTCCTATGGACTGGCTGCATGCGCATTCAGCCGATGATGACCGAAGGAGGAGGTGAGTGTTTAACCCCCTTCCTCCCCCTTCACGAGTTTGTTTTCTTGGCACTATAGTGGTCCTTTAAAGTCAAAACAAACACTCCATATAACAAAGTGCACACCAACAGTGGATATATAGTGGAAAGATAATAAACGTGATTATTACCCTTAAAATGAACTATAGATTGTAAGAAGACTCCTTATATTCTGAGTAAATACCTAAAAAATACAACCTAAAATAGAAAAAAGTAGAACGCAGTAATGTAATATTGCACTCACTAGAGTTTAATTGATTGCAGGCTCATAACAGAATCTTTTAAGGGATTCTCTAGTCTAGAGTGCCCACATCGCTGAAGGAGTTAAAACCCTTTCAGCCACTTCCCTAAATCCAGCGCTGATGTCCCTCAGTGCTGGGTCAGTCTGCCAGCAATGGCCACGCTCGCATTAGGATTTTCCGTGACGCTGGATAGCGTGAGGACATCCAGCGTCATTTAGACTACCAAAAGTCATCTAAGCACCTGGAAGTCCCTCTAGTGGCTGTCTTGTACACATAATATATTTAAATCACAGAGGACTTAACCCTGCAAGGTAATTATTTCAGTTTCTCAAAAATTGCAATAATTACCACTGTAGGGTTAAGGGACATGGGACATTGCAACCAGACCACTTCAATTAGCTGAAATGGTCTGGGTGCCTACAATGTCCCTTTAGATAAAGCCTTCTTTCCTTCTCGCTTCCCATGTTAATACATGTAAGGGAAGGAGAAAGACACAAACATAGGGCAAAAAATGCTTTAAAATGAACACTTTTATTCAAATTGCACTCACAAGATATGTAGATATATATTGCAAATCGAAATTTCGAAACGACAGCAACGACAAAAACAAAATTATGGCATTAAATAAAAAATCACTGTAAAGTATTAAAATAATAAATAGATTCGAACTTGCAATACAAGAGTTTAGCACTATGTAGGTCTCCTGCCCCTACGCGTTTTGTCCGATGCAGGACTTCTTCAGGGATATTCAGATGTGTATGGGAATCCTCGCCTCGATTCGGCTTAAAAGTCCTCCTTGGCACCATACTGAAATGCCTTCAGCCAATCGGAAACGGTGGCTTGTTGTATATCACCTGCAATTAATGATGTAGCTTCCGCATCTCAAGTCTTGGTCTCGTGTTGCGTTCCAATTATGTATTTACAGTTTCACCGGGAGCGCTCTATGAACCAGAATTCCTTTTTCTTGCAGTCTATGAGTCCAGCAACATAAATTAATAAGAGAGGAGCCTTATTGTATAAATCCCTGGGTAGTAGTAGGGGGTAACCCTAATATTGATAAAAGTATAACTTAAAATGAGGTCATTGCTGTTTCAGATAAGGGGTGTTATAATTAATTTTCCTAACATCTTTAATTCTACACTCATACTTGTAACCTATCTTTATTTATCGCTCTCAGAAGGTGGATAAAATTGTACTCAATCTATCCAGATCTTTACACATCTTAATCCTTAAATAAGTGAACACCTAAGGGTGAAGGAAATTATATTCTTCTTGGAAATTATTTATATCGTTGGGTGCAATATTATTACATAACGCTATTAAATGTTGACCTGTTTAACTTGTAATTAGATCCTACTGTATACTTCTGTTTCTCTCATAACTTGGGAGAGGGAAGTTGCAGGATCAACAACATATAGGAGAATATCATCCACATAATAATTGCACGTTGCCCCAGGGGATCGGATATCCCTCAACCAATTTTTGTTCCCTTAATTTGGCTGCCAATATTTCAGTTGTCAAAATATCTAAAATTGGGGATAGAAGACTGCCTGCGGGGGGGCGGGGGGGGGCCTGTCTCGTACGTTTTTTTAATTTGAACCAAGAAGAACATATATTAGGGCCTATAGTCCTAGCCATTGGGGCATAATATATTTAAATCACAGCCCAATGTAGCCACCCTGACAAGCCAAAGGCTTAAAGTATGTACATAATTATTTACTTAGATTATACACACTCTACTAATAAAATAAATCATTATATTATATATTATATATATGATATAATTATTTTATTAGTAAAGTGTGTATAATTAATTTGTAACTGTATTTTTCTGCTTTGGTGGGTCTGCCTAACATCCGAGACAGGCACATGGCCTAGAAGGGGCAGAGTGGCTGCAGGGGGACTGCCTGGAATGTCAGGTAAGTCCCCCCCAGTGCGATCGCCATTATGGGAACACTGGCAGTCAGGTAAGTGGCGAGGACGGCAGGCATGTGCTATGACGCCTGGTAGAATTTAGGCCTGTCTCCTTAAGGATGGTTTAGCACTGTAAGATCAAAATTTACATCTCTTTAAATGTTTGCCATAGACTTCTATTAATTGATCAATCACTGGTTTTGTTTGTAACCTCTGCAGTACTGCGAAGTTCAACTGAACGACACACATGATGCTGGTTCAAAAAGACTACGATTTAATTGTAACACACATCAGTATGTGAAATGAGCATTATACATGCCCCTTATTGGATCATCTAATAGGGTACTAACACATAGTTCTTAAAGGAAATAGAGGGGTAGAAACACACATACTTGCAGTATACAGGAAATAGGGAAGAAAGTAAATAAAGTACTAACAAATGGTCACTGTCATACAAAGAAAGGATACCAATGTATAGAACGGCCAACACCCTGTCTAAAAGGAACATGACTTAGCGTGTTAGTCTAGGGGCTTATTCATTAACATGTTGAAAATCAAGAAGCATAAAAATAATATTCTATCAAGCACGCAGGCCATCTTTAAGGAGTTAACAAATATGGAGAAACTGCTTGTAAATATTACTGAAATCTTTCATTTATAGTTGGACGGAAGGCTAACACATAAGGTTACATCAGACATAGCATTCACTGGCAAGATGGAGGCTTCGTGGATGTTATAGTGGAGTACGTGTTACCAGAAATATAATGGATGCAATAAGGATATGTGGGAATGACAGTGCAGAGATGAGTATTGCAATTAACATAAATTCAATAGGGCTGTGATTTTCCAGCCTAGGGATTTGATCTACAACTACAACCAACCACTCCTGGAAATTACATGGCGTATTACAATGTACTGCCTGGATTTAGAGAAACTAATTGTGCTGTAGGTGTGGCTCTGCACATGTCATATAAATTTAGATTTCCTTTAGCCAAAATATAAACCCATTCTAAGCTGTCAACAATCAACATTGATACATTGTCACCATCAGTTACCAGATTTTATTTGGTCCTCAGTGTGTGCAGCTGTCCTAGCCAGGTACTATAAATGTGTCTAATCTCATTGGTTACGTCCATCCATGGCATTGGCACTCCGGCTGTTTTAGAATTACCCGGCTGTTTTAGAAATGCAATTCTAGAAAATCTGGTAAACCATCAATGTTTTGCTGAAATCTGCAATTGTATCCAATACACATTTAATTATTTTCTGCTGACGGTTGTATGTATAAGGGAGGATGCTATTATTATTATTATTATTATTATTATTTTTATTTTTTTATTATTTATTTTTTTAAACAATATTTTAATATTATTGTAAACCATGGAACTCTGAAGCAATTGTAATATCCAGCACCTATATATTACCACGATAAGAGTAAATTGGATCTAATATTTAGTTTCAGTACTGTTTGAATTCTGTATTGTTTTTATAGCGTCATTATTTACCTAATGAAAATCATGTGTCTGGTTACTGCTGTTTTATTAGCTCCCCAATAAGCATATCCTTAATAAATAGAACAGAACTCTCTAGTCCGTTATTTCCAGTGAGCTCTAGCAGAATGGATGAAAGCCTTTCTTTAAGAGGAGCAGCCTTTGCCTGCAAATCCAATATCTTGCAACAAGGATTTAAAATGTGTCTCCAAGACCTGTATGACAAGGAGAGCAACTCACAGGTGAGAGTTTCAATGTTCTAATTAGTAAACATTAACACACTTCATTCTAATCATTGCATTGTATCCTTTGATTCCCTTTTTTGCCGATTTATCACAGTTTGCATATTTAGATATTATTATTATTATTAGTTTGCATCATGTTGTTGTTACTATTGTTAAAAGGGTTTCTCCAATATATTATATTTGAAGTGGTCATTGTGCCTACATTCTGGATGCGATTTTGCTATGAAATGTGCTGTAAATACATAGTTTAACCGCTTTGCTGTGTGGGGAGAGGGGTGTAACACCATTCAGTGGTGGATCTAAAGTAGAGAGGGCCCTGGTGCCAGTGGCGGATCTGGGGGGGCCCCAACGGGGCAATTGCCCCACCCACCCGAAAGCCTATTCTCTCCTGTGCAGGTGCTATCCAAGCGTCAGATCAGAGATCTCCCTCACCGGTCCACAGGCACTTAGCTGGCAGCCGGCATGGGAGGGAGGGGGGACCCGGGGGCTCAGCCTGCAGCTTCTCCGGGTCCTCCTCTCACGAGCTTGGAGCGGCAACGCTCCGGATCTTGTGAGAGTTAACTCTATCCCAGAAGCTGCAAGCTAGAGTTCACTCTCACTACTAGGACTGTCAGGGATTATTCACCACACCACCAGGGATTGAGAAATATCCCACCTCCCAGGCAAAGGTAAGAAGGAAGGGGGATCTAAAAAATTTGTTTATTTTAATTAAAAAAAAGTGTGTGTGTGTGTGTGTGTGTGTGTTTACTTTTTTTTTGTTTGTTTGTTTTTTAATCTGCCGCCCACACACAATAGCTTTCCCAGTCACACATTGCCCGCCCCACACTGCACCCCTCAGACACATTGTACCCATCACACACTGCCCCCTTACACACACTTTACCCCTCCACACACTGTATCCCTCACACACTCTGCACCACTCACACACACTGCGCCCCTCCATGCACCCCTCACACACTACTGCCCTATCCCAGCAGACTCCAGGCAAGTTGTCAAACTGTTCTATTATGGTTTGACTACTTATTCTGGGAGGGCACCATGGCACTCCTGACACCATAACCACTACATAGAGCGGTAGTGGTTATTGTGCCTGGATTGTTCCTTTAAATAATCTACCAGTGCCCCTCCAGAGATTAGGTTCTGGATCCTCCCCTGCCAGGTGAAAGCTTTTTTTTTTTTTTTTTTGAATCGCAATGATGGGGGGAAAAAAGTTAGAGCCCTGTCTGTTGTACAACTCTCACGAGTTACAATGGTTGAACCCCTCTGGATCCATTAGAGCCGCCCCCTCACGGAACGGGACCCTCCTGTTTACAAGGATAGCCACCCTCCTTGATTTGCCTGCACGGTGATCGCTGTAGTACCCTGTCGGGAAGCGGTGGTCCATCAGTTTGGGCCTGGATTTTTTTTTTTTTTTCTCCTCCTCCTTCTAGTGATTAGAACACAGGGGAGTATAGCAATCCCCAGAGTGAATATAGCTGTCCCCTCCACACATGAGACGAGGCTCTATGTTGAGGGTGCAGAGGAACTGATTTTTAAGGGTGCCAAACTTGTCCTTATATGACAATCCCCATGCAAGGGGTACTCCCACATGGACCTGATGGTAGACTGATTTACGATGTCACAGACAAATAACCATAAGGTTACAAGGCACGACACTCCCACACAGTGTGGTTCCATGAGATTCATACCCAAACACCGCTGCCTGCGATCATGTGAACAAGATGGCAGCCACCTTGTGGTTGTCCATAGGAATTGGCCACCCAGACGAACAATTAGAACACTGCGGTGAGAAACGTTCCAAGTTGTTAATAGGTTTGATGGACTGAAAATAATAATAAAAAAAAATAATAAAAAAAAAAATTTAAAATGAAAGCCGTACACAAACTTTTTAAATTAAATACATTATTTTGTTTTTTAGGGTTTCGTCAATTTTGGAACAAGTGAAAACAAGATTTGCTTTGATTTACTACATGAAAGAGTATGTACTGAACTGTTTGTCATATAGATTTTCTACATGATTTAAGTAACTGATTGTAAATGCAATCTTTTTAAACTATAATTACTATCAGTTTATTCATTTTCTTACATTTTATACTTACAATATGCTAGTTCTACATTTTATTTTTAATTTACTATCCATGTTCTATTGAGAATCTCAAGATAAATATTTCATATAATGTTAACAATTGCTTTTATTCTTTATAAAGAAGGTGCTCACATGGGCACTCACTAAATTCAAATCGTAGCAATTTAAAATTCTAAAGACAACACGGAGGCAAATGTGACCAAGCTTTGTTAGGCTGTCAGTATGATGAGGAGATGAGGTGGATTTAACGCTAAAGAAAAATGCAAAAAATTTACATTGGCGGTTTAAAAGGACAGGGCCACGGCACCCAGACCATTTTATTTAGATGAAGTGGTCTCGGTGACTATAGTGTCCCTTTAATCTTTTATCTGAGTTTGGTGTTTAGTTAATAAGCCACTCTGTCTTAATACAAAAGTAATGTACAAAGTTTGCGATGTTAACATTTTAAAAAATATATTTTTACAGCTCACAAGGCCTGATCTGAACTATTTAGAGCCCAGTCTGCTGGAATATAATGCCCCATATGGCATCAAGAGGTGCGTTCGAAAAATAAAAGGTCCAAATTCAAACAGTAGGTTCCCAGAAATAGTCCAAAGTGAGACTCCGAATACCGTTTGTACCTTAAAGGAACACTATAGTGTTAGGAATACAAATGTGTCCTATTAAACATTTAGCTATTTGCCCCATCACCCCCTTGTATAGAGTTCATCGAGATTGATTGATTATCTCAGACAATCCAAAGAGTTACAATCTACTGAGAGACTAACGCTGTTTTACTCGGCTATTTTACGCAGAAGCACCTGTAGTGGCTGTCAGTATGACCGCCACTAGAGGCATTTAAACCTAGAGAAAAGCAATTGGTTTTTTTTTTTTTCTTCCTATTGCAGGGTTAAAACTACAGAGACATGGCATCCAAAACACTTCACTGAGATGAAGTGGGCTGGGTGCCTATAATTAATGGGCTGGGTGCCCTTTAATTGTGATGGTGCAATGAATTATCAGGGCCTCTACCACTTCATTCTGTTTATTATAGCTGCAGTAATTTGCAAATATGACTTCACATGGAAAAACTGTGTTTCTTCCCACTGGCTGTACATGTTCTTGCACAACTTATACGTGCTCGGAATGGTCACGAAATGTACAAGTCTTAACTGGCTTGTACAGATTCCCTCTTGAAGATCTGTTAATTATACCTTATTTTATATTACATGTACTACAGTCCCTGGGAAAATGTTCTAACTTGTTTGGTTTTTATTGTTTAAGTGTACACCTAAAGGGTGTGCATGCTTTGTATACCTTCTTTAGGACCCAGTTTTACATTATACTGGGGATTGCCCTGTAGTTTCTACATTGCCAAGAGTTCATTTTTGTTCACAACCAAACGGTATATCACGGAATTAAAATTTGCATCAGTTTTGTTCCGTTGACAGTCTTCAGACGTTGGGCTACCCTGTACAATTCCTAGCCCATTGTTTGAATGTTATTTCTGTTTCTACTCTTTGCTAACCTTTTTTATTGTAGGAACAAAAGAGAGAATGATTGATTAGAAAGAGAGCAAGCTTTTAAACAAAAATACACATGTGGGGATTTTATTCTGGAAAATCCATGGCCGAAATTATTTGCCATGGTTTGGCTGTAACACGTTTGCCAAGGAGTTACCCATAATTTTCATTATCTCAGGCAATCCAATTCTTCCACAAAGGGAAGCAGTGGGAGACTAGTAAGCATGCTCGGCAATTGCCTCACTGTGCAAATCAACAGCTCCTTTATAGAGATGCATTGACTCAATGCATCTCTATGGGGAGCGTTTAATGTCTCCACACTCTTTTCGGGACCTAATCCAGGAAGTATGTGTGTGTGTATATATGTGTGTGTGTGTGTGTGTGTGTATATATATATATATATATATATTTTTTTTTTTATATATATCGGGGATACCCAGTGATGGGTCCCTGTGGGTTGTAAACTGCAAGTTCGATGTTACTTTGACAGCCTTAAAGGGATACTCCAAGCACTATAATCAATATAGACTGGTACAGTGCTAGGAGTGTTATGGTACCTTCCCACAGTAAGAATTAAAACCTTAAAGAACTGTTAACATTAAATAGCTGTTTAACAATATTCCTGAGGTCTGCTGGGCACTTGTGTCACTTCCCCTAGAATCATAAGCTCTTGAATGCAGCTTTCGTTGGCTCCACTGAGCTAAGCCCTGCCATGTAGGGTCCACTCGTTGGCTCAGAACACAGCTGGCCAACTGATGGGCCCAAGTAACCATTCTGAAACAATCAAACTACTTACTTTGGGAGGGTGCCCAAAGTTATGTAATGAAAAATGAATTGGCACATTGTCCAAGTGAACACCTCTTTACAGCTAAAAGCAAATAAATTCTATATTTCAGCCTCCGAGAAGAAGCTGCTGAATTTCTTTCCTATTACTGCCAGGCTCCTGTTCCTTTAAATCCAGATAATGTAAGAAACATTTTTTTTAAAACCACTTTTATACTATATTCTAAGACAGTTGTATTCCATTGGACTGATTTCTAAATGTCGTCATAGTTGTCCAACAATCTTATTGGGTGTAAATGTACAAAAAATTAAATTGAATGAGTGAATGTTCTATGATAGAAAACACCATTTGGAACCACAAAATAAGCGGTTTTATGTATATACAATGTGAGTACCAAGTACAATGAGAACCCCTATTTTCCGAAGGAACCAGGTTTCCATGCCTCTTACTGGGAAGAAAGGGGCGAAGCACATAATACTGGAACATTTATACAGAGCATTTGGCATTTTAAAATCTTAGAGAAGTGAATACAAAATTGCTCTACCTTATTTCTCTCATAGGCAGCTTTGAAATTCTGAGCTCACAGTAGCTAGTCCAGTCAGGGGCGTACCTAGAGCATTTGGCACCCGGGGCGGATCCATTGCTTGGCACTCACTCCAACCCCCCCTCCCTCCCCAAAAAGAACCTGTAAAAAAAAAATGAAATGGTGGGGTTTTTTATTTTTTTATTTTTATTTTTACAATTTGTAAACTTTGCAAAAACGCTGTCAGTCCCTCCTACAAAACCCTTGTCCTGCCCCTTCCACAAATCCTGTACTGCACCCCGTCTACAAAACCCCTGCAACCCCCTTCCACAAATCCCCTGCTTATCCCCCCTTATAAACACTCCTGTCCCAATACAAAACCCCTGCCCCTTCTACAAAATCTCTGCAGCCCCACACACACTTTTACAGGCAGGCAGTCACATATACATTGAGACACACACACACTCACACTCACAGGCAGAGAGTCACACACACACACACACACAGTTAAAGGCAGCAGCAGACAGTCACATGCACACAGTCACCGACAGATAGTCATAGGCGTGTGCAGGCAATTGCGTAAGGGTGTGCACCCTAAAGCACAAACACACGCTGATTTATATATATATATATATATATATATATAATCTCCAAAAATACAAGATAGAATAAAACTTAGCTTTTATCAGCTCAAAATAAAAATCAATGTTTCAGTCTGTATCACAGACTTTCATCAGGATCATGTGACACCGACTGAAACGTTGATTTTTTTTTTTGGCTGTATCTGTTTGCTGATAAGCACCGGGCAAGTACATCAAGGAAGGTGGAGTGCATTACAATTTTTTTATACATATATATTTACACACACGCGTTGTTTGTTTGTGAGGGTGCTGTTTGTGTGTAGGTAGGGGGGCCGTTTAGTTAATATCCCCCCCCTCCCTTCTTACCTTATGTAGGGAGGGTGGACCGTGCTGCTGCCGGGGCTAGAGTTAACTCTCAGATCTTGCAAGAGGAACCTGGCAGAGCTGCTGGCTAGAGCTCCCCGGGTCCTCTCCTGCCTCCCTCCATGCTGCTATGGGCCGGTGAGTTAGATCTTTGATCTCCCTCACCGGCCCATGGAGGGAGTCACGTAGCGCATGCCACAGGGATTAGGGTGTGCCCAGGCACACCCCGTGTGCATGCCTATGCAGATAGACACACACAGTTACAGGCAGACAGTTAAACACACAGTCAGTTACAGGTAGTCACGCACACAGTTAGTCACATATACAGTCACTCACACACAGTCACAGGCAGAGAGTCTCACACACACAAAGTTGCAGGCATGCAGTCGCGCGCGCACACATAAATAAACATAGTTACAGGCAGTTACACACACGCAGACAGTTTTACACACACAGACACACACTCTTACTTACAGACAGTGGGCTGGAGGAGGAGTGGTTTCCTGAAGTCCTTCCCTGAAGCCTGTGGAGAAGCAGGGATTCCATCTTACTGCACCTCCATGTGCAGCAGTAACCGGTAAGGGCCGTATTAAGCCCCGCCTCGCTGCTGGTTTGTATCCGCCCCCACTTTACCTCCGTGCGGCCAGTTCAGCTGCTCTTAGCGTGTGTGAGCTGTTCTGGCCGCACGGCACCCTAACTAACATGGGGCACTGTGCGGCCGTACAGCTCACACAGCCCCCAGACCAGGGTCGTGGCACCCCCTACCCTGGTGGCACCCGGGGCGGTCCGCCCCCCCCCCCCTTAGTACGCCACTGAGTCCAGTACATCTTCCTTTACACAAGGGTGACTTATTTTACATAGACTGACATGACTGCCGGCGGTGAGATGACCCATTATTAGTCAGACAAGGCCAAAGTTGCCAACTGTCCCACTTTCAAGGTCTTCTCCAACCACCCCTATTTATTTTCCCTGGCATCCTAAAGATATAAAAACTTATCTACAAGACTGAAAGCAATCCTAAATCAAACTAAATAGCTGAGTTGGAGGATTTTTCCGTTTGATTATTTTGGCTTACAATATGCAATTCTCATGTAAGTTCTCTGCAATTCCTGGCTTAGCAAATAGCCCCATAAATTTTGTTTCAAGAGCAGCATTATTATTCATTTTTACTTACCCTTTTCTTTTTTCCATAAACTAGAGAACATGTCCGTGTTTTTAAAAAAACATTTTACTTGGGTAACTTTTTAACTACTAATAATATATAATTTCTTTTTTTTTTTTTTTAAACCTCTAAAGCTATGCTTTCTTTATAGATCATTATTTTGAATGGATGTAACTCCATATTCTGTTCCCTCTCCGCTTCGATATTTAATCCAGGAGGTAAGGAAAGCTTGTCCAGAGAATAGTTGCTATTGAAATTTTTAATTTTTTTAAATTTATTTATTTTTTTTAAACCATGCACTAAATCAGGGGTAGGCAACCTACGGCACTCAAGGTGTCTTTGCACGGCACTCAAGGCTGCTAGAGCCAAACAGGCTCTGGCTATCAGGAGACCCAGTAAAACTTCAGATATCTGGTAATACGAAGAGGTGGTGAAGGACAATCCTCAATTTATGCATTGCAGCACATAGAGGAAGTGATCTCAGATCACTTCCTCCCGGCACTTTGTGAATAGGAATTCACACTGTAGTAGAACAACCCGCAGCTGCTGTTGCAGCTCCTGTCCTTGACCTGTGCCTGGTCCCCACTGGAACCCAGGGAAGCCACCCACACTGCAAGATATACACAGAAATGCATAATAACCCTCCCCTCATACAAATAACAGCCTACACACAATCCCCACAAACACACCACTAACAATCCACATACATGCACACAACCCCACACGCAGCCTCTCACGTGCAATACCCCAAACAGCCCCCACACATACACAAACTACCAAACACACAATGTGACATATCCATCCACACACAATTCCACAAGCAGCCCTCACACACAGCCCACATTCATTTGTATCATACACGATGCCATAAACTACTAATGAACATATACAATATAATAGCTCATATGCACAAATGCAACGATACAAAGCAATTACAGTAAAAATAACACAAGCAGAATATGGCAACATGCACACCTCAATTTTAAAAAATAAATAGGACCGGCACGCTACGGGACATCACAATCCTATATCGGCACAGTGCTGCTAAAAGGTTGCCTACCCCTGCACTAAATACTGCCATTCCTATGTGCTAATGAGCTGGTTAAAATGGTTATGTGTATTTATATAATGGCAAAGATTATTTAAAGTGTTATTCACTAAATTGAGAATTTGTACCATGGAATCTTAACTTTTAGACTATAAAATTACTGACCTGGAAAAAAATATGCAGCTCAGTTATTCTGTCTCTAAATCCAATATCAATCCGTGATCCAACTTGAAAATAATTAGCATTTTAATACTGCTCAGCTTCCCTGCAAGTAATTCCAACTAGTCACCACTAGAGGTCATACTCTTAACTATTGCTTGGTCATACTCTTACTAACTATTGCTTGGTCATACTCTTACTAACTATTGCTTGGTCATACTCTTACTAACTATTGCTTAGATGGCTGGAATCAAAAATAGTGTTTTCTATAGCGCCAGTAAGAATAGATACATAAAGAAAGGTGTAATACCCCTATGTCGACCCGAAGAAACCTCCCAGTAAACACACTATCATATTGCTGATCAGTAGTGCAAAGTAATTCAGACACGATAGAAGGAAATGAAATATGGTCACAGTCCAGTCTGCTCCCTATATTTACCCTAATGTAAAAATAAACAGTAACTACATAGTTCCTATTTATTTGTTAATTTTTGTCATTTAAGGGCTGAAACCCATTGGTCATGGGTCTGACCTTCAGATACTGTAGGGACTCTGCTCCTTTAAAGGAAACTATATGCTAGGAATATAAACTTGTATTCCTAGCACTATAGTTCCCTCGCTTGACCACCCCCACAGCGCAGAACCCTTTGCCACTTACTTGAATCCAGCGCCAATGTCCCTCTGCGCTGGTTCAGATTCCCCTATGACGGTCGATGTCAGGACCTAATCCGCATGCATGGCAACCACATTAGAACAGCCCCATAGGAAAGCAAATAAAAAAGAAAATCTAGAAGATGATAAAGTCTCAATAAAATGAGACTCAAAACTGGTTTTAAACACAATATAAGGAATACTTAATACATATTGTGACTTTAAGAAAACAGCACTGAGCATTAATGAGAAAGATTGTCCATTAATCTATAATATGGTATATTATATATTGATTCCAAAGAGGTGCCACAAAAAATAAATAAAAATACTTTATTGTGATTCTATGAAAAGACAAAAGGGCACTATGGATGGACTATCAAAAATAATAAAATAGAAAAAAATGGATCAAATATCTATGGGGGGGGACACCAAAACCTAAAATAGGAATATGGTATCTAACCTCAAAACAAAGAGAGAGAGAGAGAGAGAGAGAGAGAGAGAGAGAGAGAAAAAAATATATATATATATAAGGGGAGAAAATATAGAGCAGAAGATATATATTCCCTGTAACTCCTAGAACAAACACCTTCAAGGGTGTTCTATACTGTCCCTAAAGGAGAGAGAGAAAGTAAGAAGGATATTGCTGCCTGTCCCCCCTCCAATTCGATAGCTCAGTGCTGAGAACATAATGAAACTAAAGTGCTTAACAAGCTAGTGCCACCATTCGTGAAAAAAGTGTAAGCTAGATGTGAACCCGACGCGCGTTTCGGTGCTTCTGATGCACCTTCGTCAGGGTCTAAAAAATACCCCATGAAGGCGATTGACTTTTAAATCCTTAGTGGCCAATCGTGTTCGTTCCAAAATTGCCCGATAATCCTCCGCTGGTGTGTAGAAAAGCATGATGTAGGTGGGGAGGTTGTATGCATGTTTACGCCTCCATGGGGGTGGGCGGAACGCCTATCTATGCGTCCGATCCCACATAAGTCTGGGGAGGGGGGCGGAGTCAAAGGTACTCCCATGTGAGTGCGTACGTCACAAGGGGAAGGGAAACTCCTCTCTTACTCCCTCCCACATGTTAATCGTGGGCGGGATAAAGGCGGGGAGAAGAGATGCCAAGCAAATTGCGTCTAATAGCCCATTGTCAGTAAATATAGAGATATTGGATGCATTATAATATTATGAAGGCTCAGTAAATCTTTTTTGATCCTGAGGAAAGTCCTTGCAGGACTGAAACGTTGATCGTGGATATTTTAACTTATTTCTAATAAATTTTGATTTTTATTTTTTTTTATTTACCGTGAGTACAGCTACTTGTTGGATTTTCTATATATATATATATATCCCTCTAATCTATGTGTTGACTGCCTGTCTTTATGGCTATCTATTTTTACCTCATTGTTTTGAGGTTAGATACCATATTCCTATTTTAGGTTTTGGTCCTCCCCCCTCCCCCCCCCCATAGATATTTGATCCATTTTTTTCTATTTTATTATTTTTGATAGTCCATCCATAGTGCCCTTTTGTCTTTTCATAGAATCACAATAAAGTATTTTTATTTAATTTTATTTATTTTTTGTGGCACCTCTTTGGAATCAATATATAATATACCATATTATAGATTAATGGACAATCTTTCTCATTAATGCTCAGTGCTGTTTTCTTAAAGTCACAATATGTATTAAGTATTCCTTATATTGTGTTTAAAACCAGTTTTGAGTCTCATTTTATTGAGACTTTATCATCTTCTAGATTTTCTTTTATATTCTATTTCAGGTACAGGCCCTCTATTTGGTGGCTCTGGAACCACCATTCTGACCTATGTGAGTTCCACTCTCTCACAGTTTTGTGAGTTGTGGATACACACGTTCAATACTTAAAATACCCATAGGAAAGCATTCTGCAATGTTTGTGGTTTTTTTTTTTTCCTATGGTATTTCAGGTGACACTGGATGTCCTCATGCAGAGCGTGACAATGTCCAACGTCAGGCGACCGAAAGTCGCCTAACCACCCGGAAATCCCTCTAGTGACAGCCACTAGTGGTGGGGTTAACCCTGGATAGTAATTATTGCAGTTTCTCAATAACTGCAATAATTACTATTGCAGGGTTACGCGGACTGGGACAGTGCGCCCAGGCCACTTCAATGAGATTAAGTGGTCTGGGTGACTATAGTGACCCTTTAACGTATAACATGTTATCTGCTTCATTTGATAGAAAATATACTGGTGAAATATTGTTTAACTATAAATTGATGATTTTTTTTTTTTTTTCTCTATACTGATATACCATCTGGTAAAGTCACAAATATGGATGCCACTAGCTCCTGCTCGTTGGCTCCAATTTCCCAATTTAAGAATTCACTTTTTCCAATTAAATAATTCCACATGTCTAAATGTGTGTGAATGCTGATGTCATTTGGGGAGAAGATTGTCCCATTCACCTCCCCCTTTCATTTATAGCTTTGGTCTCCTAGACCGTGAGAGCAAGCTTCAGATATTTAAGTAGTGTGTTGAATTTGGTTGGGGTTTTAAATGTATATTCTTATATCATTTCATTTTTCAGATTGTTTCCTCATTCCCACACCATACTACAACTTAATAGATGAATACATTGGTGCCTATACTGGAGTACGACCTATACACGTTCCACTGTCCAGCAAGGTAAGACTTATAGACTGCATTACAATACTCAGGAGGCAAAAAAAACAATTTATTTTAAACCATAATGAAACTGGCCAGGTACTTGGTGGGCCAAAATTGGTCCAACATTAGTCTAGTCAACAAGGTATGAATACTATGTTCATGTTGGTATAATACTTTATATCTATCGCTACCTTAAAAAGCTCTCTGGGTGCAAAATGTGAGTCAAACCTTAAAATATATGACATACATTACATAACTGGTGTTCAGACCATCTTGTTAAGTTAGATCAGTCTAACGGTTATTGTAAAGAACAACATAAATCCATACATCATGTCTACTTGTAAATCTGAGGAAATATGTCCTATCTACCACTGTGGATCATGGCCAATTCTCGGAGCCCTACCAGCGTGACCGTCCCTTAATAAAAACAAGGTGGGGAAAACTGAATCTATTTAAAAAAAATAAATAAATAAATAATTCATACTTATTAGTCAGAATTTTGATTGAGGATCGTCTTTACTCATAAAAACATGCAAAAAAAAGCAACCAGAACACAATTATAATAAAATCCAAACAAAACTGTTAAGCTGCCGTTGACTGGAGAGATTAAGAATTTAGAGCTCTTAAAGGGGCAAAAGGTTTTGTACACCCATTCTGGTTTGCGGAGCGTTCAGTACACAATCACATTGCATCTCAACCTTACCTTCTCACTCATGTTTGTAATGCTGGATTAATCATGCTTTTTTTTGGCTATGGTTTTTGTGGCTAAACAAAGAAGAAGAAATCTGACCATCAAACCGGTAGAAGGAATTTTTGTTTTTTTTATACATGTGTTTTGGCTAGTTTATATTGCCCTTTTAAGGTATCCTGTAGAGCTCCACTTTCTCTCTGGTCAAAATTTTTTTATTTTGGCTTGGGGTTACAGATTCAGCAGATCGTAAATAGAATTTTTGGCAAAATTTGCTGCGACTCTAGAATATAAATGCTATGTTAACAAAAAAGGAAAATGCATTACTGTAAAAATGTTTTAGGCGGGTGTTTAAAAAATTAAGTAAATTAAGAAATCCTTCAAAAATAGAAATGGTAATAGTTAATTTTTGCCAATTAATAAAATTGTGAACAGAGGACAAAATAGAAATTAACCCAATATTTGGTGTAAACATCCTTTGCCTTCAAAATGGTATCAAATTTTGTAGATACAGTTTTGGAAAGTCAGGAGTTTTGTTGATGTATAGGCCTTGATTTATTAAGCCTTCCAAATGATTCAGTACTGTTAGAAAAACTTTCCAATTATTTATGTACAAAAGTCATTTAAATTCTGTGGAATTGAATCACTTGGGAAGCTTGGTAAATGGAGGACATAGTCAGGTTCATATTTAAACCACTATACCAAAAAGGTTTTATTATCCCAATTCAAGCGTCTTCAGCGGCGTCGTTTGCTCCAAATTTATTGTCTGTTCAAGGAAAAGAGGCTATCTTAGTGGATTAGTTGAAGGAAGTGAGCTTAGGTCGAATGGCTGGCCCCTTTTCCCACCTGCCGTTTGACAACTTGCAGGTATCCCCTCTGGGTTTGGTCCCTAAAAAAAAACTGGGCGCCTATAGGTCAATTCACCACCTTTCCTTCCCCGTTGCTTTGTCGGTTAATGATTGATTGTCAGGTTCGATATGAATCCTTTGATAGGGCATTGGAGTTGGTTCGCAGGGCAAGGAGCCCTGCTAGCGAAATCTGATTTCCAATCTGCGTTCTGTTTGTTACCGGTTCATCCGGACTGTTTTCATCTTCTGGGTTGCCAATTTCAAGGTGACTTCTTCTTTTTTGACATGTCTCTCCCAAGGGTTGTTTTATTTCATGTTATTTTGAGTTGTTTAGCCTTTCTCTCCCTCACTACCTTGACGACTTCTTGTTTTCTTGGATTCTACGGCCTGCCTTATCCTTGTTAGGTCAATTTTGGGAGGTTATGTTCAATTTAGGTGTTCCCATTGCATAAGATAAAAGGGAAGGCCCTAGCACAGTTAAATCGCTTTCGGTCTGACGTGAGTTTCGTCTTCTGAAAGATAAATGGTATAAGGGGCCTCAGATGGCATCAGATTTACCCGGAATGCGTAGCCCTCTGGCATTTTGTGTCTGGCCCTGTGATACTGCTTATAGCGTTGGGGGTAATGACTTGGGGATGGGTCGTACCATGGACTTAATCCACGCATGTAAACACGATTTGGCGTGCTGCTTTGCATTGTTTACCAGCTTGGTGTGAATTTGTCCGGAGATGGTTTGCCCGTCCCTGTTGGCAATCCTTACCTAATGCTAAGGCCCTGGACCGATCTCGTCGTCTGCTCAACATGACGATATCCAGATTTGTTAGCAGTTTAGGGGGCCTGATGATTTGTCGTGTTGAGCTGGAGGGCGACAATCGTAATGTGATTGAGGAATGATGGGGTTCACTTCAACACCATTGGACTGGATATTTTTAATGTGTGTTTCTAAACGGTGGTTGAAAAAGCGCTTGCTTCGAGGGGACACCACTTTTCTCCAGTTTAGCAATCAGGCTGCAATGGCGGGTCTTCCTGCGCCAGCAAGTTAAGAAAGGACACTGCCCGGACGGGCTTGGAGTCGCAGCCTGATTTGGTGGATCACGAATGACAGGCTGAGGAGGCTCTGGTTATAAAGTTATCTGTCTGCTGGGTAGAACCAGCAGCTGACTGTTGTTGTTTGCTGGTTGTTGGAAAATAAAGCTGTGATCATTAACCTTACCCACTAATATGGTGTTTGTGTTATTTATTGGGGGAGGGGACAATGGGAAAATTTTATGAAGGTATCAGCAGTCATGCCTTTTCTGGCAGTGTTTACATTAAAGCCTAGGAATACCTCCACTAGACACTCCTCAGATGGCTACTAGAGGTGCTATTTGGAGCAGTGTGCAGCACTGCCATTCAGTGTCTCCCCCTTCTGCATGCAGACAGTGAATTTTCCTCATAGAGATGCATTTGATTTAATTCATTTCTGTGAGGAGATGCTGATTGGCCAAGGCTGTGTTTGGCTTGTGCTGGCTCTGCCCCTGATATGAAAGCACTGCGATTGGCTAAGATTTCTCCTTCCCATAGCAACCATGCAGTAACGTACATTGAAAAATGCTAGGGGTGCCAAATGTAATCAAATTTGCTGTTATAGCTTCCTCATTTTTCTGATCCCCTTATGCACGGTTGTACCATAATAAAAAAAAATAAAAAATAAAAAATAATAGAGTAAAAACAGAAGAGAAAAGCGCATCCTCGAGAAACTGAGGAAGTGAGATGAGGTACTGGGGGGTGAAGGGTTGCTCAATGATATGTCCCTTAAGGAGAGTGCTGCCCTTTTGACTGCATCTTTCGCATGCCTCTTTGAAGTCACTCGTAGTATGAGGACTCTGGTTAAACATCCTGCTGCTTCTCTTCAGTGTCCCTTGCGATTGTGATTTTATGTCTTAATCCGGTCTCCTGTCCTATTCGTTCACCATACTATCAATCCAAGGGGCCCCATATCTTTTCAAATTTCTTTGCTGTTCCTCTGATCTGTGCTGTCAACTTGTCCATTAAATAAGTGTCTTATTTTTTTTGTTTTACCATTGCAATTGTAGGGGTGTCCCTCTGTAACCACACCTGTGCTAAGACTCTTCGTGCAGCTAAGTTTATTTTGTGTACTAGGCGTTGTTCCATTTTTGTCCAATCGTCTATGGATCTGGATAGTAGGAACACCTATGGGTCTTGCTTCACTTCCCTGCCGAACACCTCTTGCAGCAATTCCATGATTCGCTTCCAATAGGCCTGCAACTCAGGGCATCCCCACCACATATGGATATACGCACCTTTATGTCCACAGCCCCTCCAGCACAAGTCTGTTGGGTTTTTGTGCATTCGGTGCAGAGTTACTGGGGTGACATACCACCTAAATGGAGTCTTATATGGCTGTTCTTGCAAGGAGACACACACTGAATATGTTGCTGCAGCCTCCCATATTTCCTGCCATTCTATGCCCTCCAATGCCTCGTTCAGATCTGCTTCCCACTGGTCTATGTATTTGAGGTCCCCCCATTCTAGGGTATGAGCGCTCAAGTGTGAGTATAGATAAGAGATTAGGCCGCTTGGAAACTGTTCCTTTGAACACATTCGCTCGAAAACCGTTAATTGTGTCTGTGCCGCCTTTTTGATCTGGGGATCGCTGGCATAGTCCTTAAGCTGCAGGTAGCGGAAATAATCGAAAGGTTTTAGCGTGGCTCTACTTTTCAGTTCATCAAAAGTGACAAAGGAGCCATTTTCAAACAGTTGGAATAATCTCTGCAGTCCTGCGTTTTCAAGTCCCTTAAAATCCCTAGCCTGCATGCCTGGGAGGAAATCTGTTTCTTAAGAAGGGAGTCACTGGTGACAGGACGGAGGTCAGGCCGCATTTGTGGGCAGTCGTGTCCCAGACCCTGAGGGAAGTTTGTATCTCCTGGTATGGACCTTTATCTGAAGGTCTTTGTTCCCTGGTCCATATGAGGAACTGGGGTAGCTTCGGGCCCATCAATGAGGACTCTAAGTCCACCCACCTCCTCTCGTCGGGGGTGTATGCCATAGGGCTATTTGGGCCAGCCGGGTTGCCACATAATAGTAGTAGAGGTTCAGTAGCCCCAGACTTCCCCTATTCTTGGCTCTATAAAGTATATTACGTGAGATCCTGTGTTTCTTATTTTGCCAAATAAACTTACCTATAGCTTGCTGAAGTGCTCCCAGGGTAGATCTAGTCAAGTGGGTCAGAAGCGCTTGAAAAAGTAATAATATCCTAGGCAACACGTTCATTTTCACCGTATGTATTCTTCCGATCCACGATATTGGTTTATCTACCCATGTCTCCATATCTTGTATTAGATGCCTAATTAGTGGAATGTAATTCTCTTGATATAAGAGGGAGGTGTCTTCCATTAGCCATATGCCTAAGTATTTGATGTGATCTTTTGCTATATGGACGTGATAGGTCTTCCCTATATATGCTGCGCTTTCGTCGCTCATACCTACGGGGAGTGTGCTTGATTTGTGTAGGTTGACCTTGTATCCAGCCACCTTTCCATATTCTATCAGTATACCAGTCAGTGCCCCCATGGATTCCTGTGGGTCTATCAATGTCAATAATACATTGTCAGCGAATGTTTTCCTGTCCCACCACGGTAATTCCCTTGACCTCTGGGGTTGTGCGTATCATTTACATGAGGGTTTCTAATGATAGAACAAAGAGCAGCGGTGAAAAAGGGCATCCCTGTCTCGTGCCATTGCTCAGTGGAAAGGGAATGGATCGTTCCCCCGTTATTCGGACCTGCGCCCTGATGTTGGAGTATAAGGCTTTAATGATCACCTCTTCTGATGATTATGTCAGCCACATAGGCAGATCAGGGGAAGAGACCGCACCAGCAGAATGCAATAAAAGTATTATTTTACTTATATGTAGGGGTGGGGAGAGGAGGTGGGGGGGCTAGACAGTGATTTTAACACTATAGGGTCAGTAATACAGGTTTGTGTATCTGTCCCTATAGTGTTCCTTTATGTGAAAAATAGCTGTGTAAATTTAGATTTGTGATAGTTAACTAATAAAAATAAATTTTAAATAAATTATTTTTGAAAGCATTCTTACTTTACAGAATTTTTCACACCTGCACAGTAGTATGTTTGTTTATGTGTGTGTGCTATTTTTAAGTTCTTTCTTCAATTAAGTTATCTTATTGTTTTTTACTATTATAATTTTTTTTTTAATTTTTTTTTTTGGAAGGTAACAGAGACAGAAAATTATCCATTTCAATTAACAATAAAGAAGTTGGAAGATGCCATGGAAGAAGGAAAGAAAGAAGTAAACTATATTTATTTTTTTTATACCACTTTATTTAGTTTAATGAAAACATTTATGAGGCTAACAAACTCAGGCACCCACTCCAAAAATATTGAATTATTTGGAAAGCTTAGCTCGTCACGGATAACTATGACCCAACAAGCAGAATTCAATTAAACAATAAGAAATCTACTTTTACGGGGAAAAAGTAGTAGTTCTGGGCCTTGGAGTAGCTGGACTAAACGCAAAACAGTCGTATAGGGCAAGCCAAGGTCAGGAGAACAGATAGTAGATTAACAAGAAAACTAGCCCAGGACGATAGAATGATCAAGGACAAGCCAAGGTCATATAAGCCAAAGATATATAAGGATAACGTGCTAACATTCTCTTTGATATGTTTGTTATTCATATAGAAGTTTGTCACCTGCCTGTGGTTCTGTGTTCCAAATTACATATTGACTATTTTCTTGACTTGTTTTTGCTCAACTTTTATTGTATATTCTAAAGTACATAAAAACAGGTTCTCCGCAAATATTTAAAAAACATGATTGCAAAAAAAAAGAAAAATTAGAATCGAACGTTCATTATTGCAAGTTTTTAGTCAAAAGTTTGTTCATACATACCTCCAGAAATGTTTGTAACCCTTTGAGTGCCAAAAGTGGCACCAAGGTGCAAAAGTAATGTTTTGTAACTAACACTTCAGATTGTGAACCAAATGCATACAACAAACTTCTCAATTTCTATTTTTATATAATATTTTTTAAAATCTGGTTTTAGAAAGTTATACTTCTTGCATACTACTTGATTTTCCAATGTTGTGTTTTGATTTAGGGTGTCCCCATCAAAGCACTGATATTGATCAATCCCCAGAATCCTTTAGGTGAAATTTATTCTAAAGAATTCCTGGTCGAATGTCTTGATTTTGGACAAAGGTTTGTGTATTTTAAACTCTAACAGAAAGACCCGACTTATTATCACATATGCCATTTTATACAATTTTGTTTATTTTATTTTTTTTCCACGAAGAATATAAAAGTACATAAAAACAAAACATGGCAAAATTCTATTTTTAAGAAAAACTGAGATGTTAGCATGGAGAAATTTTAGACCTGTTCTGTGAATTTTTTTTATCTAAATGGGAGGGGGGGACTGTCGTTAAGTGGTAAAAGGGAGGATATATACATTTTAGAGCATGTGCTGCTAATTTATCAGCTGTACATACAGAGACAGATATAATAAAATACAGTAATCTTGTGTTCCATCCCAGCTCTTGTTAGAAACCGCACAGGTTTAATCACTACTTCTGGGCTATCTCTGCTGATGACAGAAGATAAGACCTTTATTGCACAACTATCCCGTTCAGGATATATAGACCACCTAGATCACCTAGACCACTTCATCTCTGGGCACAGTGTTCCTGTCACTTTAATTTTGCAATGTGAAACACTGTAGGTTTCTCAAAACCGCAATGTTTACATTGAAGATTTAAGTCCACCTCTTGGGGCTTTCCGTATGGCAGCCATTACTGACCAAGTAAAGCTCGATCACGTGAAGCAGAAGCTCCATACAAAAGCATTAATTCAATGCTTTCCCATTGGGAAGTCTGAATGTGCACACCACGCATGTGCATTCAGTCCTCAATGCTGTTTTGAGGAATATTGGATTGGGCACCGATGGAGAAGGTCATCCCTCCTCTGTGATGTCATGGGAGGCAGAGAGGTGTGAATCATGGAGGTAGCTTCAACACTGAAAAAAGATAAATAAAATTACATTTTTAAAATTTTAGTTCAAATGGTGGGGGAAGTTGGGGGACCAGAATAAGAGTAGGATATTCCTCGTTGCTATAGTGTTCCTTTAAGGCAAAGTTTTGTAGAAATGGGTGCCTCTAATTAAAGCCGTACATTTCTCCATTATAAGAATATAAGTGATTTTGTGATCTCTGTTCAAATACATTAATGTAACCAATGGGGACATACATGCACTCTGGTTTTGATGCTGCTGGCCAATATAAAGTGTATTTCTCTCTAACAGGCATAATTTGCATGTGATTATAGATGAGATATATATGCTGTCTGTTTTTAAGAACGCCACCTTTACAAGTGTACTTTCCCTTCATGAGTAAGTATCTTCTTCTTTTAAGATTTATATCCAGCTGTTTAAATAAAATAAATGAATTGTAATAAATGTCTCCATTTAAAATAAAAGCAGTTCAGTAATGCATATTATCATCACAAACAGAACTGTTAGGAACAACGGAGTACAAAAAAATCATTGTCACCAGGGGAGTTAAAGGGGACATTCTAACAGGGGCATTGGAGACTTCGGTTGATGTATTTGTATAGGTTATGCAATAAACACCAATGTTTGTTCAAGATACTAATGATAAATGTTGGAACTGTTGACGTGCTACTGGTAGTTATGTTCATATGTGGTGGGCCTGTAGAAAGGTTTCAGAACTATGGTACTGGGCTCAAAATATTATATTTAAATTATGTGAGGTTAAATTCCCAAAGACTCCTGTAGTAATGTTATTACAATCACAGTGGCCAAAATTGAAGCAGATGGACCAGTTTCTGATAACCCACTGTCTGATTGGCGAAAAATTGGAAAGGAGGGCATGAGTTTACTAGCTCTCAATTGAGCACTCAAATATTATTCCAATTAAAAATGGAAAAAGGGGTTATATTAAATCTATAAAATAGAGTAATGGGGGAATGGGAAACCGGTTTGGCCTAGTTGGTTAGGTGATGACAGGATAGGGTATTGGCAGTGGCGTCGCTAGGTGGGGGGCCAGAGGGGGCCATGGCCCCCCCTACATCATGCTGTGCCCCCCTTGGGCCCCCCCAAATGCCAGCAACTTGCTGGCCATGGGCTTCCCTCGGACTGTAACAGCCTGTCACAGCCCGAGGGAATGCAGTGCCAAGGTTCTGGGGGCTGTCTGTGGCTGGAGGGAGCACTGATTGGCTCCCCGGCATAGGCCCCGCCCCCAAACGAAGCCCCGCCTCCCGCCGATAAGCCCCGCCCCCGCCGTAAAGCAGCAGCCCATGCTGCTGCAGAAGATGGCTGCCTGACCCCCAGCAACATCCTCCAGTGACA